CCACACTGGAGGGGGAAAAGCCTCAACTGCATTAGCATCTTCAGCAAGAGGGGATGGAGGGGGAACGTAATTCCCCTTTCCATAATGGACTTGGTGTAGAAAGGCATAAACTTTACACTCCCTATGTCATTCTTATGGAAACGAGGGTCAAAGGGAAAGGTAAAAATGGGCTCGGGAATGTGGTACTACTCCCTACAGGCTTGAATACTGGAGTCTTTTACCTCGGTTCTCTTCAACCTACCAGTATCCCTAGGCCTAGCAGGTTCCCTAACTACTGTTCTGCGTACCCTGGCCATGAATGAGTTTTTCGAAGAAATACGAAAGAAGAAAGAGTAGATGAAGGAGAAATTTGGGGAATAAGAGTACTTACAGATGACAGATCTTTGGAAAAGGTGCTCGGGAAAGGGAGAATGGTCGCTTGGGAGATTAAGGAGAGTGCTCGGGAGTTGATTGCTGAGAGAAAGTTCGAAGATGAAAAGTTTGGAAATGGCCAAATGATACAGAGGGAGTGGGTATCAAAGAGGCAAATCATCATTTGGAAATTTGAAAAAGGCGGCGCCAAACGTGCAAGTAACCGCTCCTAACACCCCGGGGTGTTCTGGAAGCCACCAATCTCCATGCGCCACTTGTCCCATATCGCAAGAAGAATGGAGGTTAGGGGGTAGTTGACGGGACTTGAAGCGGCTCAACAACCCCTAAACTGACACGTGGATTGCCATAGCCGTTACAGAACTCAAAAGGCGTCGAGAAATGATGCTGAGGAGTTATCGCTTGGAGGGCGGGCTCTTGGGCCGGGCTTCAGGTTGGGTAATGGGTTTGAGGGCAAACCCAAAACCTCTTTTTAAGGATATTGAGCTTGGACTCGAACATGTCAACTATCAAGTCTATTGAATTTTAGGCCTATTTTTTTTTGGGTCAAGTAATGGAACTCATGAGTAACCCGACTCATGGACACCCCTAAACATAAAGAACCAAATCCACTCTAATACTTTTTCTCCATTTTTTTGCAGATCATCCGTATTAGTGAATAAGAGACTCGTTTAAATATAATGAGTCTTAGTTGAATCTATAATAGAATTTCTACCAAGATGGATAATGGTGAGAAAATGTATTAAGAAAATCCCATTCCCTTCTCCACTTTCCCTCGAATTTGTAACTTTATTTAGTTTTCCTTAAATAGTAGATGAACTAATCTCCCCAATGCACTTTCTCCGGGAGACATTTCGTCGGCTGGTTCATAAAGTTGCATGTGTCATGCATCTTTCTAATGGGATCAGATTGTGTCAATCTTAATTACTGTTTACATGCTCACTTTAGTCACTTTAATGCACGTTTTGCCCCTGAAAAAAAATTAGGGTTAGACTAGTGCATGGAAAAATAATAATTTCATCTCTTTTTTGGCTAATCACAACGTCACAAGTGTAAGATTTTATTATTTTATTTTTTTACTTTTTTTATCATCAATGACTACTAATAACTCAAAACAAGATCTATGATGGAAAATTATTTTTCAAAAATAAAATTACAGTAGATTAATTATTAGACTTATCCAAAATCATAAGGTGTAATCAGCTTTGTTTTTGTTCTTTTTTGGTGATAGAATACCCGATTCAGTAAGCTTTTACCCCAATTTATTGCATAATGGGTATGGTTGGACATTGGTTAAATAGGTAGTTTTTAAGAATTTTGGAGTAAAATAAGTCAGATTCTTTTAGACTTTGGCTTTTTTACAAACTTATGCAGCATTTTCTTGGACCCAAAAATATTTTATAAGTTTTTCTTCCGCCTTTTTGGAGTTTTGTCTCAGGTTTCACATAATTTTTTAATTTATTATATTTATAAATTATTAGTGTCGTAAAAAATTTTGAAACTCATCTATTGGGAATTATTATGTATAATCTATACATACATATAATTATTTTTTTTATTTTGACACAAAAAATTCAAAAAAGTTATAAAGTTATTTCAAAAGTATTTTCTGACTTTTTTAGCCTTTTAGGGCATGTTTGATATGTTTTTTGGGAAAGGTTTTGATTGGATTATCCAAATTCGATTTTGACTCAAAGATGAGATTCAACATTTAATGTTATCCATACACATGTTTGGTATGCGTATGGTTATATAATTATTATGATAATATATTTGTATATAAATGACTATTGTGCCCTTTAACCAATTTGTATATATGAGGTATATATGATATATAGGGGTATAAATGTCATTTACATGTTAAACCCACGAATGAAACTCACCCCTTCTTGGATTTCATGAAACCCAAGTATGTGAGTTTCATGATCGGGACGAGTTTGAAATCCTATCCATACTTCATGGTTGTCAAACATGAGTTTAAGGGGGTTTACTCCCCGACCCATGTTCCCAAACCCCCCCAAAACCACATATCAAACAATCCCTTAAAGAACACCCTAACGGTTTTGGGGGACTTTTTTAACTTTAATTTTTTTATGAAATTTTTTAAACTGCAATTTTTCACCTAAAAAGCCAACTCAAAACAAGCTCAATGTGTAAACAATAGTTAATTTATCCCTTTGGCTTTCATGGATTAGATAACGAAATCACCTATAAAAGAGAAAGTAAGATCTTATGAGATATCCGTTGTGTCTGGATAAAAAAAAAATTGATTGTTCTTACATTCATGTCAAGTAAAAACAAAGAAAAGACAGTCGAGTTGGTATAGTTTTTACTATGTTCTTGATTACAAACTTTACTTCCACCCATACGAAATGATGCTCTTAATAAAATGGATTGCATAAATTAATTTACTTTTCATACATGAAATATATCCATGCCATAACTACTATCATATGTGAAAAAATCAGTTCACTTTGTTAAAATATAAATAACTAAATTACACTCTTTCTAATAGTTTAAGCTTCTAAATGTAATGGTGGTTCAACATGATATCAAAACAAGAGAAAATAAAGAGCATTGGGGGAGTGTGAGGAAGTACTGGAAGGTTCTGTGTCGAAATCTCGCCAACCCTAATTATTAAATGGAACAATTGAAGAACAATCATCAAAATTTATTATGTCTTGCAAATATGAGTGTTTTACCATTTACACTATTTATAAAATAATTCATCATGATAATTTTTTGCTTTGCTGCTTAAAAACATTTTCATGCGTAAATTACATGTAAAAAGATAGAACCTAATTAAGAAAAGTTATATGAAAGTTATTTTAGAGAAAGTACTAGTATTAGAATAATTTTTATAGAAAATATTATTTTGACAAATCATTCTGTAAACAAACTATAAATAGACATGTCAACCATCAAATTTTGAGTAATTCAAATCCAGGTTCGATTTGAAAACTCCATTTTGAATATGATCTGATTATCCATTAGATTTTGTCTTTATAATTCATATCCATATTTATATCCATTAAATATTAAAAAATTGATCAAAAAATAAATCTTATATATACACGTGTGTGCATGTGTTTTTGTGAATTAATTACGATTAACAATTAGGTCAAATTTTGGTATATCCAAATTTAAATTCTGGAAATATAATAACATATTCGAACTTAAATAATCAATTAAACATATCAATCCATATGTAGATAATTGAATTTAGAGACTGATGAGTTTGGTAAATTAGTGTGTCATTGTAGAAAAAATAAAAATAAAAATAAAAATAAAAACTAGAGATTAAAGAAAGAATAGTGAGATTAAGTCCACAAACTTTCAATAAAAATCAGTGGGGGCAAGTATTGAAAAGTTTTAACTTTCTTATATTTTTAAACTAGCCCCAAAACTTTTCAAAATCTCAATGGGGGCAATTGCCCCCACTAACCTCACCCTCGCTCCTCCCTACATGCACGTGAGAAAACATATTGAAATATAAATATTTAAATTATACCTTTTTTAAGAACATAAACTTTTAGATGAAATATTAGTTTAACATAAATCTCTAATATGCACATTGGAAAAAATATTGCTAGCTCTTAAATTACTCACTTTGTTGGTCCATGTAATTAAAAAGTATGACTAGGTTATAAGTGAATTTTCTTTGTGAAATCACTTCATTTTGTTTGTACATAATAAAGAAATTATTTTGTTAATTGCTAAATAATGGTGATGGGGATATATCCCCACCATTTAGTCACCGGAGGTAGTAACTAGTATAACAGTAGTTTTGACAATAGTCAAAAAAGAAAAGTGGTGCCTGTGGCATAAATTCCATAGAAAAGTAGTGCCTGTAGCATAAATTGTATATTGGTGGGTCCTGGAAACAATCACCTGCCTTCGTGATTGTTAAAATTGATAAATGAAGAGAGTGAACAAGAAACTACGAAATTAGAAGAAACACTGTGTGGTTGGTTTAGTGGGTAAAAATATATTTTTTCTTGCTCAATACTCAAGTTCGAGTTTCTATAGTTACGCCAGTTTAGTAGAGGCTAAATCTATTCTTCAGGATCCACAGCACGCAGTTAGACCTTAGTTTCAGTGTTGACATAAGTGCAGTGATGTCTTCTATAAATAGTTGTATGGTGCTTAAGACCAATGTTTCTTAACAAATATGTGTAATGACCTATCCGTATATTTATTTTAGGCATTAAGAAAAAAGAAATAAGAAGATATGAATAGAGATAAATTGTACAACTAGTTTAGTGCAGTAGATGGGAGTTATGAGTGAGTGATTAAGGGGTTTGAAGTGGTTAAGACAGAAAAACATGAAGGTACTATAAAGCATTTCATATGGCCCCCACCCCCCCCCCCACAAAAAAAAAAAAAAACCCAGTCTTCTTAATATAGTAATACATTCACAAGCGCAAAAATGCAAAATGAACTTTCTTGAAAGTGGAGGCTATATAGTATGTAGGGACAGGACTGAAAATAACTATAGAGAATTTAATAAAAAATGAGAGAGAGAGAGAGAGAGGTACTCTTGCAGCTGTACAGTAACCAGTATATATAGAGAGATAAGGGAAGGGACAGAGAGAAACGAACAGAAGTAACAAGGAAAGTTGTTGAAAACAATGGCGGATATGTGTAGTAGCAGATCAGGGGTTTTTAGGGTTTCAATGTGTGGTAGCGCAGAAGAGATTGAACAGTTGTCCAGAGATGGTAGCCATTACAGTCTCTCTACCGGAATTCTTCCTTCTCTCGGCGCAAGAAGCAACCGCAGAGTCAAGCTCCGAAGCTTCATCATATCTCCTTATTATCGCCGTTACAGGTTTTTCTCACCCATTTTATTTCTTCTTTTACATCTATACATGAATATACATATAAATATATATGTGTGTGTGTCCGGAAATAGTTTTTTTTGTATTATGGATGCAAGAGTGTGTAAATCTGACCCTTTTCACTGTACTGTATCAAAATTTCATGTGCTAAATAGTTCTTTTCAGGTGTGTATATAATATATGAACCTATGTTTCGATACAGATAATTATTGCACTTATTTTTATTTTGTTTGCATGTATATGGCATTGAATCTTGTGCCTCTTGATATTAACGTAAACCTTTGTTTTGTTGCAATTTTTTATTTTGATTTGGAGTGTTTTTCTTTTCTATTTTTTGGGAATCATTTGTTGGAAATTTATTGGGTTACATGAATCAATTTCTATAAGCTTTAATGGTTCCATCGAGAATGCTTTAATATATTAACTTTCAAAAATCCTCTCTCTCTCTCTCTCTCTCTCTCTCTCTCTCAATAGTAAATATTGGGTGTAACAGTTACATCGTATCAATAATGTTAATATGGTATAATTATCCAATAGAAAACTAACAAACAGATAAAATGTGGTCCACTTTCTATTATGGAGGTGGTTATATATCACATAGTTAGGTGGTTATGAATTTTTGTAAGGCTTACTTGCAAATTTGTTTATTTATCAATGGACGGTTATATTATGTGACACTCATGAATGATGTAACAGTTACACATAATAATTTTTTCCTACAGAAGAGTGCTTGGACGGTTACACTTGCACATTCTACAATTAAAGTCCAACTATTATGTTTATTTAATTATTCGATTTTTTTTTAATTTTATTTGATAAGTGTTATTCTTTTTCTTGTGGAATTTTTTTTTTAGTGTGTGTGTGTGTGTGTGTGGTGGGGGGGGGGGGGGGGGCTTTTAATTTTTGGATGCATTGGAAGTATCATAGGAAGTAGAATATCTTGTTTGGTTTGGTTTGTTTTCATAGAATTTTGTTCTAATTCCTATTTTCTTTATTAATTTTGAGTTACTTCCTCTGTTATACTTTCTTCAGTCAAACACTTTTCTGGGAAAGTCTTGGCGTTTAACTGTTGGTTTTTTTACTTTGAGGTTTAATAATCCTGAATTCATGTCAAAAGATGGAACTTCAAAGTCTAAATTACACCATCCAAATCTTTTACTTTTTGATTTTTTTTTATTTTTAAAACTCCAATTTTCCTTTTTTGATTATTCAAAGGGCATTTCAATTTTATATTGAATTTTTTTTTTTTGCATCGCAATCAATGTCACAAATAGACACCTACTTAGAGCATATTACGGTATTGAAAAGTAATATTTTGATACTTTCAAAAAAAAAATTGCTAATGAATTTTAGTCTGAATTATTTGTAGTTATAATCGCACAAATAATAAAATATACAAACTTTACACTTGCTACATTCTTATAGTACCAAAAAAAATATCATCATACCAATAGCCCTAATACAAGAATGATTTTTCGATGCTAGAAATAGACATTTTAATACAAGATAACTCTATGGTATAGAAAAGTAATTTCGGAAATCTAAAACATCATGTTCAACTATGGGATTTGATTTGAGTTGTTTGTAGTCATTTAAGACAAAAAAAAAAATAAAATAAATAAGTTTTACACCTTCTAATAATACAAAAATTAAATACGATACTAAAAAATAATTTTTCAATACTTTAGTTCTACCACTAACACGAGAATTTTCGAAAATTGACATGTTTTTAGCTAGATTGAATGAATTCATTGCAGGGCATGGGAGACTTTTCTGATAGTTCTGGTAGTCTACACTGCATGGGTGTCACCATTCGAATTTGGTTTTCTTGAGAAACCACAGAGGCCTCTCTCCATGGCTGACAATGTCGTCAATGGCTTCTTCGCAGTGGACATTATTCTCACATTCTTCGTGGCCTACCTCGATCGGTCGACCTACCTTCTCGTCGATGACCCCAAGCAGATTGCATGGAAGTATGCAAGTTCTTGGTTGGCATTTGATGTCATCTCCACAATCCCTTCTGAACTTGCTCGGAAAATTTTCCGATCGCCTATCGAGACTTATGGCTTGTTCAACATGCTCCGTCTTTGGCGTCTCCGTCGAGTTAGTTCCCTATTTGCAAGGTACGGTGATAATGTTAGTTCGTTTATATCACATGCCCGCAAATTATAGATTATAATTAGTCCGAACACTTCTAATCATTGAATAAAAGAAATTATTGGTTACTTTCTGGTGGTTTGATTGATAATTTATTTATTTTCTTTATATACTTTACAAATCTATCGTATACATAATTTCATTTTGTCTGATTAAAGTCAAACTGGCAAAAAATCCAATCAAGTCATCATTTTTTGATAAAATAACATGTCATTAATTATTTGTAGATCAACTACATATTATATTTATTATTTTTCTCTCTCCAAAATCAAAAAATACCTTTCTGTCTCTTCTATGGTTTAGAAAATCGGAGTAACCGTATCAACAGCCTTTGATACCGTTACATCCCGATAAAGCTAAGTTAAAAATGTTTTCACACCCGAACACGGTCATTACAGTATGTCATTCTTCATCTTTCTTCATTTTTTTGCAAAAACTAAGGGAAAAAAAAGACGTAGTGAAGAATCATGGTGTCCAAATAATTTTGTATACTAAATTATTATTGGCATTAGTTGTTGCACGTTAGGCCAAAACCAGCAAGTTATGTGCAGGCTTCTAAATTTGTATGGGGGTAAAATGTCAAGAGCAGAAAATAAAAGGTGAGAAAACATAATTTTTGGATTCCCCTTTTGGTCTATCCTGCAGCTCACCTCGTTTTTTCTTTCATCAAACAGACTGGAAAAGGACAGAAACTTCAACTACTTCTGGGTTCGATGTGCCAAGCTTATCTGTGTAAGTATCTACCAGTCGACTCAAGCATCTAAATTTTGTTTCGATGTATAGTTTCGATCAACTCTCAATTATTTCTAAACTAAAATGGAGACAAGAAAAAAAATTATAATTCTAACCCCGAAACCTTGTGATCAAACACTCTGACACGTGGGAATTCCTATTTTAAATCACTAATTCGTTTTTGGTTTGTACCAATACCGAAAAGTCTCGATCGTTTCATTCCGGAAAGATGGGAATTTTTATTTTAAACCACAGATTTGTTTAGGTTTTTACTTTCTGCTCAAACCAATTCGTCATGCATTTCGTTTGCAACAAAAAACTTGATCCGCAAACATACTATGGAAATGAAACGAACTTTTGATTCTCGGATATATAGTCATTAACAATCTCAAATTTGGCTTTGGGTGGTGTTTATAGGTGACACTTTTTGCAGTCCATTGTGCTGGGTGCTTCTATTATCTTCTAGCTGCCCATTATCCAGACCCAAGCAAGACATGGATAGGGGCACCCAAGAATGACTTCCATAAACAGAGCCTGTGGACTAGATATGCCACTTCAATGTATTGGTCCATCACCACCCTCACAACCGTTGGATATGGAGATTTGCATGCTCAGAACACAAGAGAAAGGATATTTGTCATCTTCTACATGCTCTTCAACCTTGGACTCACAGCCTATCTCATAGGAAATATGACCAACTTGGTGGTCCATGGTACTAGTAGAACTAGACACTTTGTGAGTGACCAACTCTCTTACTTGCCTCTCTAATCTCTCAGGTTGCATCATGTAGGACTGCAAATGGAACGAGCATGAGCAATCTCTGGATTAATTAGCTCGTTCGACATTGTTCATTGGTCATGAATTACCTAGTTCTAGAGATCATTTAGTAAATAAGCCCAACTAGAACAACATCATACTTAGCGCTCATGAACAAATTGGACTCGCTTATTTTTATACATATATATATCCATACATAACAACCTATGTCTAGGGTAAATTAACCCTTAACTATCTTCTCAATTATTATTGTCCGCTATATATTTAACGAAAAATTATTTCATTTTGTCCTATGAACTATGTAAATTTTTTATGCCCCAACATGTCAGCGACGATCCAAAAAGATAGAGGATGTTTGTGATTTTAGTCAAGTCTTTGAGAAGCAAGGTGATTTACTCAATAGTTCAAGGGACAAAGTGAAATTGAATCCATAGTTTAGGGGACCAAACTGTAATTTACCCTTATAGTGAGCCAAGCTTGATCCAGACATGCTTGAACTTGGTTTGTTTAATTATTCAAACCCAAACTTGGGGGAAAAAAATTAACATGTCAAGCTTCAACAAAATATTTGAAGCTCGTCATGATTGCGAGTCGAGTCAAAAGAGTCTGCTGCTCCATCGGTTCATTTACGGCAGCCCTATCGAAAGAGATTGAAATTTTCTGATCTATATATGCTGTGTTAATTGCATCCAAGAACAGAGGGATACAATTCAAGCAGCCTCAAGTTTTGCACAGAGAAATCAATTGCCGGATCGTCTTCAAGATCAGGTGCTAGCACACTTGTGTTTGAAGTTCAGAACAGACTCAGAGGGGCTGCAACAACAAGAGACTCTTGATTCCCTTCCAAAAGCAATCCGGTCCAGCATTTCACATTTTCTTTTCTACTCTCTTGTTGATAAGGTCTACTTGTTCCGTGGGGTGTCCAATGACATGCTTTTTCAGCTGGTAATTTTCTTATATATCTCTGCCAACATTTAAATAAAGTGTATATATATATTACAATTACAGTGACACAATAAGCATGCTATCAGAAAAGTTTCGCTAACCAACAGACAATAGAATCTGTCAATAAGCGCAAGCAAGCTTAACTTATATTATAGTTAAGTCCAAACAAAGGGAACCCTTTCCATTCTTTGAAATGTTACTACCACCCTCTGCTTGTTTTTATTTTTCAATGGTCAAGTGTTTGACCAATTTGTGTGTATTCTGAATAATCTTTCTTCCATTCGGTCAAAAATAAAATATTCACGTTGGGATTAGATGATTTATGAGGGATAAATTCCTCGTGCCCTAACCTCAACTTCAAGGGGTTACCAAGTTTCAACCAAAGGACGTTTGAGTTTATAACTCGTTCATATTATCAGAGCTACTCCTTAGATTCTCTGCTTATTTTTTGTTTGAAAAAAGAGGCGATGAAACTCCCTATTTAATTTACAGTTATATGCTTATCTTTTTTCTGTGATATTAGTAGGTCAAAATGTCACAATGCCTAACATTTTTCTCAATTTATTTAAAAAAAAAAAGCAGTAAAATAAATAGAATATCATATAGTATTTGTTTATTTTCTTAAATCATCTAATGGAGAAAACTGACTTTCAATTTTTTTCTAAGTGGGTATTTTGTTTATTTTGTCAGTTTATTCTTTTTTTTTTTTGTATTTATGATATTTTACAAGCGATGTGATTGTAATTTACCCTTTAAAATATAACCGATGATGTGTATCCTTACATTGGATTATTTACTCTGTAAATTTTTGAAGGTTTCTGAGATGAAAGCTGAGTATTTTCCTCCCAAGGAAGATGTCATTTTGCAGAATGAAGCACCCACAGATTTCTACATCCTTGTTACAGGAGCTGTGGTAATAACTATTCTTCTCTTCCTTAATTGTTTCTTTGAAAGAGATTAAAAAAAAAGGCTAATTTTTTGACTTTTTTCCAATTAAAAACCTGTGATTTTTTTATTTTTTATTTTTTCTCCAAGTGATTTAAATGTCCTTGCAGGATCTGCTGGTTCTCAAAAATGGAGTTGAAGAGGCAAGTTATCTTGGCCTTTCTATCATTAGCAAAATGAAATTGAAAAAAATAGAATACACCAAATCCTGCGAAATGTAGCGATAAAGTTTCACTATTAAATAGGGATTAAAAATAGTTCTCTAAAAAGAAATAAATATAATAAGTAAGTCAAACTATGTTGAATTCACAATATCTAGAGAACCCAAATAACTATTTTTGCAAATTAATTATATTTTAAAATCTTGAAACGGGAATAGACTTCCAAATTAATATCATTCTCCAATTTGGATAAGATTAAAAAGGGTCCCAACACGGGTTTTATGTATGGAGGAGTACAAATCGGAGCAAAATAGAAGATATCCATAACGAGTTTGAGTTTCGGTAACTAGGATGGCGCTAATGAAAGCTGTTAAAGTTAAAAATATAGTCAAGCGAGACTCTTAGATTCAGGCACTTTCACCGGTACTTGAGCTAGCATTTGAACCGAGACCCAAAACTGAATCGCTGAAGGAACCTCTTTCCGTTGTTAAAGCAAGTCCGCTTTTCAAGCTTTGTTCTTACTAAAGCAAACACACACACACACACAAAACTCTCTCTTTGGCTTTTCATTGAAACTAACACGCCTAAACATAAAGTAGCTTTCCCTCCACTTTTTATTTGAGTTTGACATTCTCTTTCGCTTTCGCTTATAGATACACTACAGGCTTAGATCAAAATCCTTCTAGCAGTTGATACCGAAGTACCGCTTGCATATTTAATCTTTCGGAATCTTTAAGTGGGTTTAATGATTGAGAAAACACGTAACTGCAAATCTATTAGATAATAAATATATATATATATATATTGCAGGTTGTTGGAGAGGCTAAAACTGGGGATCCTTGCGGTGAGATTGGGGTTCTCTGTTACAGGCCTCAGCTATTTACAGTGAGGACAAAACGATTGAGTCAGCTACTTCGACTCAACCGTACAACACTCTTGAATATTGTTCAGGCCAATGTTGGAGATGGCACCATCATCATGAACAATCTCCTTCTGGTGAGTATATAGTGTCGTGTTCAATTCATATTTCCTTTTGGATTGACGTCGAGTACTAACCAATCTTAATTTATTTAATTAATCGTATCAGATGTTATGGCACCAACCCGACTTTCTAATAATCATGTCTTGCTATGACCTTTATTTTAGCGAGACTAAGTAAAAAAAGAACCACTAATTCAAGACATAGTCGTCGATTCTAATCCACTAATTTCGTATCGGATCCGCACTCTAATTGGGCAGCATTTGAAGGAGCTGAAGGATCCAGTTATGGAGGGAGTTTTATTGGAGACAGAGAATATGCTTGCTCGTGGTAGGATGGACTTACCCCTCAGCCTCTGTTTTGCAACACTTAGAGGAGATGACTTGCTGTTACATCAACTGTTGAGACGTGGTCTTGATCCCAATGAATCGGACAGCAATGGCAGGACAGCCCTGGTGGGTTAACAAAATTGTTCTACTGTATATATATTTACAATTCTTGTTTATGCTCATGCAGGGTCGAAAAATTAATCGAATTGTTCATAGATAGTGTGAGATTGTTTACATAAATGCTCGTTCATGTTCATTTAATCAACTCACAATACAAACTCGAACTCTGTTTGTTTAATTAGATGAGCCGAGCCGAGACCAATCTTGGACAATATGTAAGGGATCTAAGCTTGACTAATATGTTTGAAGCTCGTCTCGATCTTGAACATTATTCAAAATGAGTCAAAGTCAAATAGTATAGTGTTAGTCTTGATGGGATGTATTTATGTCTTAATTTCCTTATGTCTTATGTAAATTCAGCATATAGCTGCATCCAAAGGAAATGAGAACTGTGTACTTCTCCTACTGGACTATGGGGCAGATCCCAATACTAGAGGTAATTTCTTGTCTGCTAACCCAATCAGTAACCAACCAAAGATAATTTTTTTAGTGGGTATTTCAAGCTACGTGTTGTAGAATGAAGATCCAAAACTCATGTTTAACTCGCTTTTTTCAATCTGTACAGATTCAGATGGGAATGTGCCACTATGGGAAGCCATTCTGAACAGTCATGACCTTGTGATCAAACTACTCAAAGACAATGGAGCCAAAATATCTTGCGGCGATGTTGGTCAATTTGCATGCACAGCTGCTGAGCAAAACAGTTTAGGATTGCTCAAAGAAATTGTTAATCATGGTGGCAATGTCACAATCCCCAATCACAATGACTCTACTGCTCTTCATGTAGCAGTTTGTGAAGGCAACTCAGAAATAGTCCAATTCCTTTTAAATCAAGGGTCTGATATTAACAGACCAGATGACCATGGTTGGACACCAATGGCCCTAGCAGAGCAACAAGGCCATGAAGATATAAAAACTCTCTTTCAATCTAGTAAAGAGACCCAATCTCAATCTGCTAATTCAGTCCATGAGGAGAAAGTTCATGGAGTTTGTTTTAGAACCGAGCCAACAATTTTGCCTATGTCTCAAGAATCGACATCCCTAGTGCCAGAGGGATCAGGGGCTCATTCTCGGCCAAGGCATAGGACTAATAGCTTCCATAATTCGCTGTTTGGGATCATGTCAGCTACACAAGGGGAAGATAGTGACTTGCTATTGTCTGTGGACCGGACTAAATGTGCTGGGAATGCTACAGAGTATTCTGCCAGGGTCAGAGTTAGTTGTCCTGAGAAAGGAGATGTTGCAGGAAAGCTTGTGTTGCTTCCACAGAGCTTCAGTGAGTTGATGGAGATTGGTGCTAAAAAATATGGGTTTTTGCCCACTAAAGTGGTAAGCAAAGATGGGGCTGAGATTGATGATGTAGTGTTGATTAGAGATGGTGATCATCTAATATTTGTTAGCAATGCTGGAATTGAATGAATTAATCCCCTATAAAGCAGGGTTGAGATACAAAAAAGGTGGGCAAATGGTTTGTTTATTCCCTTTTATATTTTCAAATGTAAATCTGTACCGCTTCAAGAAGGTTTGGTACTCGAGTCAGTTTGTGTATGCTCGATTGTCAAACTTAGGTTTTTTCTCAAGCTTAGCTCAACAAATGCTTGCAGGCATTTGAGCAAAAAGCCGAGCTTCAAATATTTCAGATTTCTTCCATAGAAATGAAGGCGACTGAAGTGTATATGTTCTTTATAGACAAAACTCTAAGTTGAGTTGAGACTACTTGAATCGAGTCCTACTTCGCTAAAGTTTTTGGCTATTTTACAAACAAGCTTAGATATCTTATCAAATTCTAGATTCATTCTTTCAGCATTAATCAGTGCGTTAATTATCTGGTCACTATATGTTGTCCTATGAATAGGGTTTCTAATATGGTGGTGTTGGGTGCGGAGGCTAATCACTGCTGCTGTGCTCTGAACTTGTAATTCTGATGACTTTAATAAGACATTCCACTAGGGACCGGATGGATGGGCCAGAGCACGAAGCTCTTGCTACTACGAGTTATGGCGATGGTCAGACATAACACACTCTTACCTCCACACGCAAAGAGGCTGGCGTAAATCTGCAGTGAGTATATTCTAGCTCATCAGAGTGGAGTCACTGGTAGGCAGAAATTCAATTTTGAAGGGCTTCAACACTAGTTATATTGCACTCAAGCACACTAAAATGGGTATACATCAAGAGTCGGTTAGTCTCTCTTTTTTTAGCTGATGACTTCTCTGTCAACAATCCATGTTAGACTTTGGTATAACCATAATATTCTCAGGTATGAGGAATGAGAGTGCAAGAAGTGGATAGAAAATTTAATATACCATGTAAGGTTTTAAAAAAAAAAAAAGAAAAAGAAACGAAATGCAAATTTCTGGATTCTTTCCACAGGAAGGACTACAGTGATAGTATCCCTATGCTCCCTTACCCTTCCTGTCCCGGCTGGTCCTATTTTCTTCTTCGAGGTCTACTTTCTCGACCACTTCTCATAAACGAAATGTTAAGCACAAGAAGGTAGACCTTGTTCCTCATCTTGAAGGTTAACAATATAATCTCCACGATCCATTATGCTCAATGATAATAATCTCTCACTCTTCCTCATCCTGTGGTGCAACATTCTCTGGATGAAACTGCATTCACAGAATACATAGCCATCAGATTCAACATCTAACGAAGCATTATTGGGTAAGAAAACATAAGATGCACCAACGCATGAAAAGAGGAAAAATTGGTGCTGGCGTGTGTACATAGCAGAAGAGAGAACCAACAGTCGGGGAAATTCATCGAAAAGGGTGGACAACAAAATTCTATCTTCCCTTTAGAAATCTTAATAAGCAACACATGTAGTCAAACCAAAGATATTGGCTTGACAACCCAACACTGGAAATCTCAGGAAAGTGACAGAGAGAAATGCAGACCAAGAAGAAGAATCAGTAAAAGAAAGAAGCCCAGAACATAAAAGAGAGTGCAAATATCCAAGATTGCTGCATGGAATGAGAATTTCCTACTGTTCATTCAATCTCTAAAGTCCGGCAAACCCACAATTTAACAAGCACCACCACCAAAACTAAGTAATACATCAGGACAGTAGCATTATTATGAACTTAAGAGTTAAAGGTTTTTGTCTGTGACTATTTTTCTGCTGTATGTCTGTTTCCTTCTTCTTACAATAATCTCTATTTTCATTACTCTTCTTATGGATGAAACACATGCTGTTGGATTGAGGCATTGTAAAGGTTAAGATCTTTATGAAGTTAAGGAATGCGAATATGTAATTACATGCTTATCTGTCAAATGCAAAAATGAAGTTACAAGAAAGCCTCACCTGAGGAAGCATATCTCCGTGGAAGCTTATGGATCTATGCTTGAACTCTCCTCTGCTGGTGGTCAACTCGGCCAATATCTCAGAACTACATCTTTCCACTTCGCAAAATTCATCCTCTGGAGTAGTTGCTTGCAGTTCCTGCTATCAAATTACACATTGCAAATTAGTCACAAAACCAATTATACCTCGATAAATGTTTCAGAAGCTGAAGGTCGACCTATCACCAAAATTCTTACACTACAGTTGTTAAAAACTAAAATTTATTTTCTTGCAAAACTAATTGGGTACATGGTGTACAAAGCTGCCGTCCTTTTTTTACCCCTATATATTACTAGTACTGAAAGCTGATGATTTAGTATTGTATCGCATATAGAACCATAAGCATGTTATAGCTTAAGTTATAAAGAATCTTAATCCTTTACACACACTAGTTTATATGGCTTTTGTAGTCCTCATGGGAATTTTCTGCACAGACAAACAAATAGTACTATCAAATTTTCATAGGATTTTTTCTAAACTGCACAGGATGTAAATTCTCAGGATGGAATAGAAAGTAAGTCATCAGATAAATCACCTAAAAGAAATGATACAAATCATTGACGTTATGAGCACACATTGCTTTCATTAGCACATTAAACATATAAATTTTGGTGGTATGTCATAAAAATTGATCTTATGCACTCTACAAACATCATTAACAGTATCACCATTGGCCTCATGGACTAACAGGAAAAATATAATTCCCGCAAGCCAGATGTAGACATAGTGCCATCACATACCTCAAGTGAGATGCAACCTTCACTATACCGAGTATTACCAGCCACTTCTTCGTACTCAGCTGCATCCAATTCCTGAAGGTATTGCGGATGCAATAGTCTGGGGAGGAGATGCTGTCTAATGCCTATGAGCAGAAAGAATGGCAAGGGGAACAATATTCCAGCTATGGGTATCCATGTCACTCCAAAACACATTGCAAAATATACAAACTGAAAGAGCGTAAACATGGCAATGACATTGAAGGGCACCAGCTCTACATAAGAAGGATGAAGTCCTTTGAAGACTCTGCCAAACAACGTTCCATAATCAATAGGAGTGACAAGTATAGTCATAAAAAACCAATGAAAAGAACAGGCAATGCTACTCAATCTTGAAATTGTCAAGAGTGCTCAACTTACAAAGCAACTCTATAGGGCACTTAGAATAAAAATAACTTACTTAAACCGCCGGCCAGGAGGAATAAAAAGCAGCAAAATTCTTTCCCAGAATTGGTTTCCAGGGAGGCTGTCAATAGACATGTAGGCAAAATATCCCCAAAGAACTGATGTGGGTATTTTCTTGATTATGGGCATGGCAAGTAATGATGCTCCCACCAGAAGCGATTGTAATAGGTTGCTCACTCTTTGCTCATTCACTCGGACAGGCAAGTGATCATCAAGGTGCTTTTCCAGGTCAAATTTACCATCTCTACTTCCTCCATCTTCACCTTGCATGACTGCATCCTTCAAGTTCTTCAGCTCCTTTGCAGCTTGTGGCTGCAATAGAGCCCAAACTACCATAAGATAGGTCTAAAGGAGATACTGAAGCAAATTTCCGTGTGATTCTCTATTTATATTTCTTGAAAGCCCCTACTAGAATGAGCTGCCACTAAAAAATTTGCTCCTCTATCGACAATTCCAAGAACTATATGACCAAAGAACTTACAGATGGAGTTGTGTCCATTTCTATAAACACTGCTTGCATCTTGCCATATATTTCAGAGTTGCTAGCCTGCTGCTTAATGCATTCCTTAGCACTCTTTACCATCTTCTTTTGAATTAACTGCAAAATTATTCAGATTCTCTAAAAATCTATAAAAATTATCTTTCAGCAGAAATAAAGGCGTCCCTATTTTATGAATCCTTAAGTGAACCTGTTTTTTGAGAACAGCAAGGTTCTTTGTGTGCATGGGAGATTGAGGAATAACACCATTTGAAGGGGGAACTCCAATTAATCCACAGAGCAGGGTCTGAATAATTGTTGTGATCCCATCCAAGTCAAGGCAAAATATTAGACTATAAGTCATGATTGCATCAACATTTCAAGCAAACACAACGGATATGAGAGATCAGTCAATATACCAAACTTCCGAGCAATAAGATGTCATAATGGTAAGCAGATGGATTTTTGAGATTGAATTCTTTCTGTTGAGCCATTTGTGAAGCCACGCTATGATCAAAAAAATAAAGACCTGCTATCATTACAGCTGGTACGAGTGCAGCAAAGATGTATAATGGAGGAACCTTCCACATATCCTGCAGTATCAATGTGCACAATGGATGATTTAGTATGAAGTGCTCTACATTGGCAATTTGAATACATAAAAGGCTTTCAGTATCTGTTTCCACCTAAATTGATCACATCTACTTTAGGCATATCAAGGGAGGTTCACCTCTTGAATCATGAGAAAGGATCTACACAGAATCAGTTGTATAAGAGGAGAACATGTCATTTTAGAAATTTGTGAAAATATCTGGGAACTTCACTTCCGGTTTGAACTCTTACACAAGATATTGTTTGAAGAAGAAATGAGGTCTTATCTTCAAAGGTGAGATTCAAAATTATCATAACAAACAACACAATGCTTCTGAACACAAACAAAAAAATGAACCACTTTCTCTTACCTTGATAACAGTCCAATGTTGCAAGGAAGCAGACTCCCAAGGAAGGGGACTATAAAGCCTTCTGGGAACTCCCGAGGGAACTTTGTTTGGTGTGCTGAATGACAATGCTGACCATACCAATACCATAAAAGGAACCCCATAGTCTGCAATAAATCTTCGAAACCATCCTGAATTCAGGTACAAAGAATGTAAAATTTCTGCAGTGACTAAGCTTTGCAGCCAAAACCTCATAGTCACTTCACAAACCTGTGCCATACTTCCATGACCTAGCTCTTCTGCTCTTTAGGGCAGTTAAAAGTAGGCCAAAAGAGAATATGATTGACATCAAGCCATTTGTATATAGCCACGGAAAACTATATTTTTCTGCATTTGGATTTTCAGCCTTAGGAATATTGAATTCACTCACCACTCCCTGTAATTAAATACAATTCAAGTTTTAGTTTTGCTTTCTCATATTTGGTGCCATAGTATCTCTCCTTGTTAATCAAAAAATACCTTGATAGCCTCTTGCATGAAAAGAACTGCAATCATTATGCTGAAAAGTTCCCCAGCAATTCTTGTAAATCTGTTGATAATAGTACAAGCATTGAATATTGCAAGAAGAACAAGCAGAAGAGCAGTCCAGACACAAACCCTGCAACGGTTGTAGTGAGCAAATGAATCTACAATAAGACCAACTTTTGAACTGAAAATATGAAGGCATTGACTCCTGTTACCATCCAGCCCAAGCCAAGAACAGCTCTCGTCCAAGGTCTGCCTGCCCCTTGCAGAAATGGTACAGGTAACTGTACATTATTACAGTGGGCTCTGCAACTCCTAATATCAGCAAAGGCTGCCCACCAAATATTGAATGTATGATGCCACAAAGGGCAGTCGAAGTCAATGTTTCTACTGTGCTCAAGATTCCATCTGTATATAAATTGACTTCTCAAGGCTATCCATAACAAACAACATACTTGGATAAAGACATATGCACATAACACTTTTGCGCCATGTATGCTATCTACACAGAAATAAGATGGCACAATCACTAACCTGTATCTCGACTGAGTTGTTCTCCAAATGCAATGACTGGAAGGGCAGAAGCAAAAAAGATGTAGGTTGTTGGAGCCAAAATCCTGACATGGAAGAACTTGAGATTACAATCAACATGAAATAAAATACTTCATGCCAAAGCAAATTTCTTGGGTGAGGAAAAAACCTGGAGCCTGCGCAAAGTCCATTAATCCAATCGTGCTTGTAGCATATTTTTCTTCCATTTAAGTCTTTAATAATCCCTCTGAATGGACTTTTGATATTATCCATGCTGACTGCAGTAAAATTTCAAAATGAGCAGCATGTTGAAACTAATTCAGGAGTTCCCCTATGCTTCTCTGCATTAAACTTCTTAATTGTGAGATACAGATACTTAAGAGTGCCTATGGGTGGGAAAATATAAGATCGATCACAGCAGTTCCACATGCACACCCTCCTCCTAAATACAAAACAAGATGGATACTAGCCTATGGTACTTGGCTGTCATAACTTCACGAAATGGATCCCTAGCCCAGACAGGAGGGGTTGCTACAAGGAGAAAACCAACATTACATCTTTGATCAAAGGTATAACTTATGATATGTCATTGGAAAACAAGGCTTCGAAACTGAGTATCTAAGGAAGAGGTACAGACAGAACATTAATTTTCATTGAGTGGAGTTGAGGACAATGATGATAGAAAATGGAACTACCGTCATCACTCCATCACTGCTGCCTCCCACGATACTGACTGCTGAGGCTAATGTCATCCCAACTATCTAGTTGTCAGTGTCAACACTCGCCTCCTTCACCATCTCCTTCACACCACCTCAGCCACCACCATCATACCACCAATTTATGACCACTTCTCCTGTCCCTCCATTGTCACCTTAAACATTTCAAACTAGGTACCACCACCTTGACATTCTTCAACACTAACCTCTTATTCTTTTAAAGGGTTGCAACATATTCAACACTAACTCACAAGTTATGGATATAATGTCAAATTTCAACATTATATTGGAAGGATTGAATAGCAAATAGTGTATCAGAACATTAGACTTGAATTCTACATAAAAATGTGAAATTCAAAAGAATTTTGGAAGGATCAGAAATTCAATAGTCTATCAAAACATTACAGTTGAATTTTACATAATTTTCAATTTTAAAATATCTTAATCAATAAAACAATACAAGGTTAATTTCTAATTCATATGCCATAAGACACCTACAACGCTTAGACAAGAATGCCTAAAACTACCTAGTGACAGAGGAAGTGACATCCGAACATTCAAGAGAACAAAAAAGCAAATTAAGATACCCCATCATAAAGAAAAATTGCATGGTAAATAGCTATATCAAACAAGAGGTTCATGTTTATGTATGCACAATACACGCCTACATTAGATATCTCCTACAGACTAACCTATCAAATTTTTTTTGGAAGGTGACTAATCTAATCGATTTTAGACGAGGAAAGCTCTAATTACATTTCCATGCACAATATGTAATTATATACAATGCTACATATATACATTCAAATATGCACGTGAAATACAATAGGAAAACAAAAAGAAATTCAATAATCTGTGAATGGAAACTAGGTATCCAACAACCATGACGCAATACAGAAACAAAGCTCAATGCACAATGCTCTTGCCATTACGGGGTTAGTTGGCAAGAGTCAGCTTTACCCTCACATGCAAGATATTATTTTTGCGACTCAAGCCCTCACAAAACATAAACATAAATCAAAACCTGTTTTACTCACCGGAAAAAATAATTTTGACGCCGATCAAGTCGGCGTCAAAAAATATGGAAGCTTGATCGGTTAGCTCGTTGATTTGTCTGATAGGTCAATGAGAAGAAAGTTAACGGTGATTGGTTGAAGATGACCACCGGAGACGTCGCCGGAGAAGAGAGTTGTTTTGGTCTGACGACGCAGTCCCGGTTTGTTCGTTGGTCACCTTTTATTCGGAGGCATGTCCCAAGCCATGATCCATAATTAGACACCGACAACATTTTCTTCTATTTTTTTTATTTTGGCACTTAACAACATTTCTTCTATTGGCTTTGAATAACCTTCGCCATTCGTGAGAGTTATACCACGTGGCGGTATTTAATTGGTTGATAGTCATCCCCTGTTTGTATATATGTGTCGTTGTTAGAGAAGATGATGTATTAAATAACTAGTTATTACCTGTGCCCGAAGACACAGAGTAATAAAAAATGTTAAACAATAAATATATTTGTATTTATATCTAAAATCAAATCATCAACATAGAAGAGAGATAAATGAATTTAAGCATCGATTATAGTGGGGGGTGAGAGATAGTGGGAGGTGGGCGATAGTGGTAGTGGTAGGAGACAGTGATGGTTATGGTTATAGCAGTGGTGGTGGTGGAGGGGTGGCGGTGGTGATGTTGGTAGGGTGGTGGTGGTGGCGATGATGACGAGGGTTGGGGTGGCGGACGGTTGTGGTGGTGGTGGCAATGGCAATGGCATTGGCATTGGCGATGTTTGTGGCGGCGACGGTGGAGGTGGCAGTAATGGTGGCGACGATGGTTGTGGTGACAGTGGTAGTGGTGGGGGTGGTGATGGTAGAGATAGTGGTGGAGCAATTTTAAATACTATTTTTTTAAAAAGTATTTATGAGAAATAATTTTGAAAATCACATTTTAAAAGTCATTCCAAACACACCTTTAGGGCCTTTTTTCCCTATTAAATTTAGGGTGTTAATATTAGTCGTTAGATTAATTTTAAAGTAAAATTTAAAACGATCTCAACCGCGAATAGCAAAAGTCATTTTGTTTATCTTTTGATATTTGAATTGTAAACTACTTTATTATATAGATTTAGCAACAATTTTTAAATGTGTAATCTATGTATATGTATACCAACATTTTCATATACAATGATTGAAAAAAGAGCTAGCATTAATGTGTGATCTATGGCTTAAAACACATATTGTTTTTAGATATATTAATAGTTATCTAATCACCGGTAATTCAGCAGTGTGATGCTAGTTTCAAAGTGAATCATCAATTTATATTTTTTGAGTTCGATTTTTACTTGTGACTTATTTTTTTATATTTAATTGATGCATATAGTTAGCGGGTGATTATATGTATTTAAAGATTACTCTATAAAGGTGGGGTGCAATGTGACCATGTAAAAAATTGATATTTATCAAAGAGCAATAACACAACGCGAAAGGTTTCCAAAAAATTTCATAGTGTAATAGGTAATAATTTGTTTGAATGATCATGTATATGTGGAATAAAGAAATTGTATTGTTGGGCACGAATGAACGATTAATTGATTGTATCTAAGAAACTTGAATATTTCTTGACTAACAAACGATTCAAATTGTGAAATTAAATAATTTTGTTTGACAAGTACATCTAGTTCACCCGACCTTTAAGGTCGGAAGTGCCAACTTCAACCAGCCGAATCGATTACGATACAAGAGTGTTTTGGCCTTTCCTCTTTCAAGGTATAGGGTTAAAATCGTAAAAATAATTTGATTACAGATCTACAAGTTGTTTGTAGTGTGTGAATTACAATGCTAACAGCTATGGCAAAAAGAGAACCGGCAGTCAATGAGGGGGAACTATCTCCAACAATGCAAAGGACGGCATTTAGTTGGTTCGTATATCCGTTATTGGGCCATTTGAAATTGTCTTTTTTAGGTGAAAAATTTCACAAAAAATTAGAGTTAAAAAAATTTTCTAAAATCGTTTAAGGTATTTTTTTAAAAGTTAAAAAAAATCTGTTTAGAGTGCCTTTCTAACTTTTTTATTTTTGGTGTTAAATAAAAAAATAATTACATATTTATATAGATTATACATAATAGTTCTTAAAATATGAATTTTAAATTTTTTTTTGTCACTAATAATCTTTTATAAATATAATAAACTAAAAAATTATATAAGACTTGTGATAAAATTTTAAAAAGTCAAAAGAAAAATTTATCTTGAATCAACCTAAATAAGTTTTTTTTTTAATCTAAAAAACTACTCATAAACTAATAAAAAAGTAAAGATCTAAACAGATTTGATTTATTTTATTTTATTTTAAAACCCTTAAAAACTATTTATTTAAACTAATTTCAAACAGACCGATTATCTTCAACTTCTTCAAAATTCCAAGATCGACGTCATACTAAAAATTAATAACTACATTTATCTAATCATTTCACAACTAGACAAATTACAATTGAAATGGATTAAACTGCAACTTTATATGGTCAATTAAGATTAATCTCAAAAACCCATTAAATTATTAAAATAAATAAATCGTAGTATGGTATCATTTTTTATGCTGTAAACCCCAATATTTTTACTCCAAAACAAGCTACATTGTTTTTTTATTTTTTTTCAGGGCCACATTAAACCCATTCTTTAGAATAAGCACGGAATACCTACAATCACCCACAAAGCACAAATACTGACCGAAAGATTATTATACCTAGAGAAATCATACAAAATGACATGGCCACGTCTGGAAGGCCAGTAATAACCCGGCATGAAGCAATTGAAGCAAAACTGATGCACGAGAAACAGAAATAAATGTAATTATTGTTATGTAGGTGTGTTTTACAGATTCTGCTCTGTTCCAGCTTAATCAAGGTTCACCCATCAAGAAAACATGAGAAATTATTCACTCTCTTTCTCATTCCATAAAAAGAGATTTACTTAACAGCGTAATAAATATATGTTGCAGCTTTTTTCACGTTGACATTCGAAAGTCCAAACAATTCTAAGGTGTTTATTGAACCCGCCATTCCAGACCTCAGCTACAAAAGTTTAAGAATTTTCAGACGCTCTTCGTGTTCTGTATCCAGTTTTGGAGGCGTGTAACAGCCGTGAAGATCCTCCACTATGTACTCCTGCAACATTTTCAAACATATCACACTTTCAATCTCTCATACGATAGGCAAAGCAGCAAGAAAATGAATCATGTATGATGCCAGATTTTGCGAGTATGACATCCGTTAAGTTTGGTCAAAGTTAGAAAGCTCAATTTGAAAAAAATGAGTAACAAAGGTACTAAATAAAATAAACAATAAAAATGTGTCAGACTAATAACTATGAGATTGTGGGTTTGAATTTGAAAGTAGTCATTTTGTACAAATCATATCAAACATTAGGTCTGCAATCGGCATACCCTTCCCAACACACTCGATTAACGGGGATCAAACAGAGCAATACAAATGAAAAAATACAAATAACAAGAAGCTACTTGACCAAGGAACCTTCAGTAACAGACACCGCCCAAAAGATTAGTGAAAGGACCAGTACCATAAGATTTTGCCAGCAAAAGATGAGAATTAATGCATGCAAGGCTGGTTGTTTGGTCCCTTATGACAATCATGGGATCATCCACATCAGACCAGTGTGAGGCTAAGGGTATAGTCACCATTTAATCAACCTTAGATCGGATGTTCAGTTTGATTCTATTCTACCATTGAGCCGACTGTAACAGAGTACAAGTCTCATCTTCTATTTTTTTTTTTTTTGGCTCAAGTATGTAGTATACAGAGCTCGTAATTGACAAAAATGGATCAAAATAGCAGATAAACAGGGACTTTACTGGTAGACATGTTCCTGAACACTGAAAGTATTCTTTTACGGGAAAGAAAATTATAAAGCCAAATTTTAGCAAAGACAAATACCTGTGTGAGTTCCTTCTTGGTAAGAATATGATAGTGTCTTTGCCAAATCCTTTGGATGGCCATGGTGGCAGCAAGGAAACCATAGGCAATGCCAAGAATGGCAAAGATAACAACAAAAACAATAACCAGGGCAAAGCATGCTTCCACTGATGCAGGAACACAATCCAATATGCCCCACCCATAACAGTAGTTCTGACACCCAGCCATGTGCGGGTTGCTAGTATTAAGCGAGGAACAATGTAATATGATCCCAAAAAACCCAAGCAGCACAAGGAAGGCCAGAGCTCCTGGTAATATTTATTTACATGGTCAGATCATAGAGTAGGTGATGAAAATACCATCTTTAAGTACTTAATAAGACACAGAATAAGCTACAACCTTTGAACCCAAAAAACATTAGAACTACCTCAAACTAGTAATCGTACCAGATTTATTATCGACAATGTGGAAAATCTAAAGCCCATTAAAAGAACACAGCCAGCAGCAAAATAGCTAATGCTATTCTAACACAAATCACAGTTAATTTTTTTCTATAAAAAAAAAAAAGGCTAACAAAAAGGTCAGAACAGAAATGCAGAACTTCAAAAGCGTATTGGAATAGGAGTGATCACTCCCAAAGAATTCAGGAGCATCAACCACTTTGGAAATTCCATTAGAGATAAAGATAAACCAAAAGAGCACAATACTTTTGATTGCACAGTACTAAATTTCAAACACCTACTCCTGGCTCAAGTGTCCATCTTATACTTAGCCCAACATCCAATATTTCAAATAAAACACTAAGAGTACTATTACATAAAAATGCAATATCACTGCAAAGTTTTTTTTTGGCAACTAGGAAGAAACTCCAACAGTTTATTGCCGAACTCAACAACCAGCATAGCTACTGGAGAAAACGTCAGGGGCTCGTGCAATACCCCACTAACCACACAGCCAAGTAAATCGAAGGGCTTACGCCCTGGGTAGGTGGCCCTAGGACTTGAAACAAGGACCTCTTGGCTGCCGCCGGAGAAGTCTTACCATTTGAGCTGACCCTTTGGGTTAATCTCACTGAAAAGTTGGTAGTTCAAAATTCTTGTGAGATCCCCCACAAGTCTTCAGACCCAGAAAATCTTAACCACACTCCGATGTTTTTTCTTTCATATCTTTGAATTTTGCACCCCTGATAATTTTTGACTCTGATGAAACTAGAGATTAATATTTCCAAAAAAGTAAGCCTATTGGCACTTAGTTAAAATATAATTGATTGGAGAGTTGAAGAAAAATTTTCAAAGTTAGTGCTAAAACCCCAGTACATTGGGCACGCATTACAATTTTTATTGGTCCCCTTTTGAAGCCTAGATTGTCCTGTAAAAATGGCATGTATGAATGACTTTATGACTCACAAAATACTGAGTCTGGAAATACCAATTATACAAATGACTAAATTCCTGTGATATTAGCAGTTGGCAGTTTTCAAACTAAATTCTCCTAAAAATCGAATATTGAAACTAATGAACTGGTAGAAGCCTAGTACTGCAGCAACTTCTTTTATATTGTTTTCATTTATCTGGTTTGAAAAACGAAGGGTGAAAATTTACCTATGCAATAGTAGAATGGTATAGGATGCTTTGACAGGATACGATCCCAACTGTCATTAAATGAATTCCTGAAAGTTCCATCTTTGTCCATGAGATATGCAAAGCCACCCATCAAGGCAATCACCTGCAATGTACAGAGCTCCTTTCATATCAAGGGAACGGTGGAATGGATGTAGATATTAAATAGAGACATGAAGCAAACAGTGCAAATTTAGTTTAAGAAAAGAAAAAAGAAGACAAAGAAGAATCAAACCATAATATCAAATGCAAATTTAAATTTGAGGACCCCATCTCTCTAAACTTCAGATTTATAAACAAACAACCAAACTCTAGCACATTTATCCAGGATGTTAGAAATTCTTCTGTTGCATTGTAAAGGTCTTTAGTTGCTCTTTCTATGATTTTGGTATTTTTGCGACAGTTACATATAAGAAAAAAAATATAACATATAGACAAAGGCATATTACTCGGGAAAACAGTCATTTCTACAAATTACTGGCTAAACCATGTGTATTTTGCCTGTGTGTAGGACATTAGAAGTTTTGAAAATCGAAAGATATACTATTGGTTATGTTCAATTTGCATCCATTTAACCCACAGCCTGTACCATACCGAACATAATGGAGGCTACGGACACGATTAAAGACCTACATTGATCTTTATTTTTTAATCTCAAACATTTCAATACGAATTGGGGCTACATTGATTTCGATACAAGATGTGACATACACAAACCGAATAACTTATGCAAATAAAATGGTATTGATCATTCACCAATAAGGAAAGGGAACTACTACATGGTTTCCCATGAACAGCCTTCTTCTTTGAGGTTGTTCAAAGAAGCTGTTGAATTAATGAAGGGTAGTCTGCGGCTCATTTGAATGAAATTCCACCCAGAACCAATCATCTAAATGATGACCTAAATACCTAATTATTAAATAATGCGCTAAATAACCAACTTACAGTAAATCATATAAAGATTAAAAGTAGCCATATGAAACCATGTTGCACCCAAAAAAAATATTGAAGTGACATGTACAAAGAGAAAAAAAGCCACATATCAATATAAGATAATATTATTTAGTTTGGTGTAGTTTTCACTAAAGAATACAGAATAAAAATTGCACTTACAGTTTGCACAGCCAAAAATACAAGAAAAACATCCCTGGCAACAAAGAGTCTGAATTTTATATTGCGCCAAGAATTATCCTCAAACTCTGCCACTCGAAGATGAAATTGAGCTTTGCAAGTTGTGCAGTGTGAAAAAGCAAATCCTTCCTACATTAAAAAAATAAGCAAATGAAACAAAACTATTGTCAAAAGCTAAGCACTTGTAAGAGCAAAAGAAATAACGCTCACCTTGACTGACCGCCAATGATCAAGGCACAAGCGATGCACAAATTGTTGGGTGCCTTTGCACATGCATGGAGATATCAATTCATCACCTGTGGTGAAAAAACTACTTTTAGGCCATTGAATCAAATGCGGTTAATGAAAACAAAGGGGAAAACCAACAAAATGGTTTACTTACTAATTCTTTGGTGCATGTAATAAAGGTCCTCGTTGGCTTGTCATATACCTAGTTTAGGTCTTAGGGTCATTCTTGAAAATAAATTGAAATACCCATATCCTGAAAAATCCCTTGTCTAATCGTCACTTAAATACTCCTACAACTTAAACGAAATGCAGTTTGGATGGGATTGTGAAACATGTCAAGCCGCTCATGTGCAACTCAAGCTCGTCCCATTAAAGTTTCATTCACACTCAGCTCATAAGTCTTAATAAGCAATTTCGACCAACTGTCAAGACGAGGCGAGTTTGCACAAACAGTTATCTGCCCGAGAGGCTCATAAACTACTCTCAGCTAGCTTTCAAATGGCTACCTTGAGATTCTGCTACTGTGACAGTAAATGTTGCTTGGACATATGGACACAATCAGAAACATGTTTCACTAACCAAACCACAGCATGTATGCCATGCATTGACATATTACACTAACACAAAAATGAAAGTAGTGATTTTTGTTATATTAGATGACGTTATGAATAGTCCGTTGTTACTAAAATAAATCCCTCTTATAGTTCAAATGACAACTGAAGGCTCAGACTTTGTAGATCAGCCTTGGTCGATCAAGCAGCTTGTGAACACAAACATGCTGAGTTTGATCAACGCATAATTTTATCATAGCCAAGCTTAATCACTTCGACATTCAGCTCAGCTCAACTCAGCTCAGGCACATCACTAAGTTTGGTGTATAAGGAAAAGGAAACATAAATAATTGTTTATCCATCATTAGTAAAGCTAAATTAACAGCTCATACCAAACCATACATGAATGAGCATCAAATGCACATCAGTGACGCCATATAACCGAAAATTGAAAAACAAAAAATTTGGATTTTGTAAAGTTATTCGAATGCCTCAAAACAAATGAGCCATGTAAATATCATCAGTGTCAAACTTTCAGCTTATCAGGTATCATCAAATGTTGACACAAACACAAAAAACTACTTTGTTTAGATTACTACTTTTTTTTTTTCATTTTTGAGTCCGATGATGCCCTAAGAAATTATTCTCATCCATATGCCGACCTGACCTGGTAAAGATCCAGGTCAGTTATAAGTGCACCAGCTTGGGAACAGCCAGAAAGGATAGAAAAGGGCTTTCATCAACAAATCCTACCTTGGACAAGAAGTCGCAATTTATAGAATGCGACATCACTGCTTCTAGAATGCAACGTCACGCCTAGGAGGGAGAGCCTATAACATCCAATGAGTATCCTAAAGATTTCCTGACAAGCAAAACAATATCTCAAAACACTATCCTCATTCTTCTCCCTCAAACAATACACAGCCAATGAGTAAGAGGCTAACCTAGTTCTTCAGCTATGTGAATTGTGAACCACTTACTTCTCTGTGCATTTTCTTTTCTTTTATATCACCGTAGACACCCAATACACCACATAAAGAGCTCATCAGCTCTTCCAGCTCACGCTTCTCAGATGTTTACACCATCAAAGTCTAAAACTTAAACGTCTAATATATCAAACCATAAACCATTAATATGTATATCAGCATACAAAAATCATCGTAGCATTTGACGACCACAAAACACCATTATTAAGCAATTTAAAATTCTCCAAACTACACAAAATGATCTTATCATTTTCACATAAAATACTATCACAGCTTAAATTTAAATTCCTTCCATAATTAATAGCGCGCAATCAAATTTGTCCAAATTTAATCAAACACATTTCTTATTACCATCTTCGCCATCGCACTCGAGGCAAATTCGGCAGAAAGCAACGGAACCAGCTTCGATATCCTCATTTTTTATCTCACTTGAACTCGCTGATGACGATGACGATTGTGAGTCAACATGGTGGTTGTCTAACAGAGGATCGGAGTCGCTAGGGTTCCGATCAGCCGATTGCTTCAGCTGTAATTCACCGTTCATCACAATAATATTAACGAAAATAAATTTTTATTTTGGTCCGATCACAGAAAACCAGGTTTCGGTTGAGTTGAAGTATGGAGTCGGAGTATGTTTAGGCCTTTTCAGATAGAGAAGAGGACGATGAGGTCTCTTTTAACACAGCGTTTAGATTTTAAGATTAACTACACTTGTCCCCTAAACTATGGATGTCATCTCACTTTGCTCCTTTAATTATTGAACTTCTTCCATTGTCTACTCAACTAGGTGAATTGGTTTCACACTTCCACGCCCTAGAATTATGTGATTTTGTTTTACTTTGCCTGTGAATTATGTGATTATTTTTAGGGTTAATAACCCTTTTGTTTTACTTGTATTTTTTTTTTTTTTATCAATTTTGATCTTTAATTTTATTAATTTGGTCCCTAAATTATTTAATTAGTATCAAAACAGCTGTAATTCACCGTTTACGAAATGATCACGTATTGGGCATGTAATACCTTCTAAAAGATTGACACATGATCACTTCCGTCAAAAACTTAACGAATCACTAATTAGGGATCAAAGTGACACAAATTAAATATTTTAAAAATTAAATTAATAAAATTAATATTTTAAAGACCAAACTTATAAAAAATATATACAAAAGATTAACTTTTTTAATCCAAAAGAATAGGGTGAATTTCAAGGTAGGGCGACTTTTTTAAAGTCCTCAAATAAATAAAAAAAATTGTCAAATTTCTACTGGACATGCCAAACACTCATTAATACATCTTTAATCGGTTGGTAAGGAATCATGTTATATTGAATTTATATAATATTTATATTTTGTTGTATTTGACTTATACTCATATGTAGTCAGATTATTGATATATCATATTTTTATAATATATTTGAGTTTATATTAACTTATTTATTAAATAATCTGGCCGATCACTTCAATTATAAATCAAATTCAATAAGACTAAATTTGTTTTTAATAATTTATTTATGTCACTGGTAAATGGTGTTGAGAATGACCTTACCTTTGCTAGTCTGACTAAATCTCGGCATCAAATTTTGTAACCTAAATGATTTAGCATCCTGAAAAACATATCATAAGGTAAAATTTTAGGGTGCAATTGTCCCTGGTTCAGGGATTATCTTCTTTAGCACGAGAACCATTAAAGTTGGTCAGCTTCCCACAGGTAAATGAGGTATCTATTACGTCTCTGAATTATATTAGTTATATTTAATTAAATTCTTGAATTATATTTTATGTAATTTAGTCCTTGAATTATAATATTTGTGTTAATGTAACCCTTCCATATAAATTCGTCATTAAGGTTGATAGAATTCCTCCCGTGCATAACAATGACCCCTAAACTATTCTAATCTCCGACTCATGCGATGGGCACTTGAAGAATTTCATCAAACTTAGCCGTAAATTTGGATGAAGGGCCAAATTAACAAAAATGATATAGTTTATGGGTTAAATTGGCACAAAATATAATTCAAAAACTTAATTGATATAAATAATATAATTCTGGAGTCAAATAGATAATTGACTCATCAGTAAATTGACAAATTCGTTGTTAGACCACTGTTTTTAACCCAAAAAAACCCGACAGTAAGTTATGTATTGGTTGTAGAATCCGAAGTTACGATGATAACTTCCTCATCAAAGTTGGGACAGCGAATGGCGATAGACTAAATGCTACCACTCCTTTCCCAAATGAAGTCCAAGTCGCGTTGCTTTTAGAAATTACGAACACTGATAATAAAAGTCTTGGTCAATGAAGACTTTCTGGTGTTATTGTCCAGATTAATGCGGTCCAGGCGAAGAACTTGTTTATTGGAAGACATAAATAGGTCCGTGCGTGTTTGAAGCGTCGAGGAGGAATCGACCATGTAGAATATGACAGGAGAAAAAGCCATATAATTGTGGGAATGGATCCATCGAGTCCTAACTTAATTTAACTAGATCATAAATTTTGATATCGTAATAAAATTTCAAGACTTCCAAAATTATTTGACTGACATTTAGACCCAATTGCAAGAAATCTAGATCTTTTCCTATACAAAATTCATCTATTGTTCTTCTCGGTAGATCACCCACCCTAAATTAGTGGAACACTCACCCAGCAAGTTGCTTTCCCTTGCCACAAGCCATGCATGAGACTTTTCTGTGCGGAAAATGAAACATGTTATCCCATTTTTAAACAAAAAAGACTTCCTATATCAAAAGGAATCCATCATTTGAATAAAATAAGGCAAAAAATTGACCAGGAATTAATAGATTTGCTCATCACGATAAATTATATTTGCTCAACACACTCTTGTTCATGATTAAATAAGGCAAAAAACCGACCAAAAATTAATAGACCCGTTTATCACAATGAATTGTATTTGTTTGACACACAGTTGTCAATATAGATCATGAACAACTTTTTATTCTATGCATTAATAGATCAGAGCAAAGGTGGGTTTTGACGTAACAATAATTTTGCTCCAATGTGTGATGGGCAATAAGAGTTAAGTCGCAAAAACAATCTTCCTACGTGGAGGGGTAACGATAATGTCGTAAACTGAATCACCCTTTTTTTTATTTCCTCCTCTTTAAAATGAGGTTGCTCTGCAAACATGGTGTGGACCAAGGCAAATACGAAGTCATGAAGGGGGCACACGAAACAGAGCAATTCGGAAACAGATACACAGTGAAAGTACAGCTTCAAACTCATCCACCACCCCCCCCCCCCAAAAAAAAAAAAAAAAAAAAAAAAAAAAAAAAAAGGATAGCTTCAAGTAGGCTGTAAGCTTAACAAGGAAATTATTTCAGAAAAATCACTTTAAACTGATTAATGGCAAGTAACAATAGCTAATAAAAACTCCAACCATCTCCATGTTTCCAGTCAAAGTAACCAAATTCTGTGTGTCAAACACACTGCTCATTGATGGAACCTTAACCTAAAAACTCAACATTTACAAAAAAAAAAAAAACCAATCTGTGACACAAAAACCCTCTTTAAGAAGTCCGACGAAAACAATTTTGCCATCCTGATGCACCCTTTTCAGCACTGAAAGCAAAACCAAGAAGCTGGCCTTCTGACAATCCTCCAAAGGCAAAATGAAAGCAACCTCAAACACCACTACAATTGAAAGAAGAAAACCTTACTCCAGAAGTGTGAACACCTGTAGCTGAAAATACCCATAAATGGATGTGAATTTCCCGTTAAAGAGTTCAGATGGCCGCTACTTTTGGAACGTCCACGGGAAACCTGTCAATCTCAGCCATCCATGGGTTCTTCTCCTTTGCTGGTTTTACAGTCCTTAAAGCCTTCCAGACAGCGCTGTTACATTTAAATCCCGACCCAAATGCTATCTGCCACACCCTGTCTCCCCTTTTCACCCTTCCCTTGGCTTCTGTATAAGCCAATTCATACCACAGCGAGCTGCTTGAGGTGTTGCCAAATCGGTAGAGCGTCATTCTTGACGGCTCCATATGCCAATCAGAAAGATGCAAGTTCTTCTCGATTTCATCCAAAACTGCTCTTCCGCCAGCATGGATGCAGAAATGCTCAAAAGCTAGTTTAAAGTCTGGAATGTAAGGCTTGATCTTCATCTTGAGAAGTTTTCGCCCAACCAATGTAGCAAAGAAAAGCAATTGTTCAGACGTAGGCAGAACAAGTGGCCCCAATGTGGTGATGTTGGTTTTTAAAGCATCACCAGCAACAGCCATGAGCTCCTTTGACAAAGTAACACCAATTTTTCCATTGAAGTCCTCTTCTTGGGTCACACAGGCAAAGCACTTATCATCAGCACCCTTGTGTGTCCGAACAGTGTGCACCAATTGGTATTTGGATCTTCTTCTCTCCGAAAATTTGTTAGAAAGCAGCACCGCAGCCCCACCCATTCGAAATAAGCAATTCGAAACAAGTTTTGCCCGATCATTCCCAAAGTACCAGTTCAGAGTGATATTCTCCATGCTGACAACCAACGCATACGAGTTAGGATGGACCTGAAGAAGTTTTTTAGCAAGATCAATAGATAATAGACCCGCACTGCATCCCATACCACCTAAATTGTAGCTGTCGATATTTCCTCGAAGCTTGTAATGGTTGATAACCATAGCGGACAAAGATGGGGTTGGATTGAACAAGCTACAATTCACAACCAGGACTCCTATGTCTTTGGGTTTTACAGAGGTCTTAGCTAAAAGTTCGTCAATGGCACCAAACATCACTGCCTCAGCTTCTTTTCTAGCTTCTTTCATCGATGGATTTGGAGGCATATTGAGGACAGCCTCAGGAAGGTAAGTGTGATCCCCTAGGCCAGATCTTTCAAGGATCTTTCTCTGAAACGCGAGGTTCTCCTCCGTGAATGCACCAGTTAACTGAGACTGATTCATAAATGTCTTCATTGTGCACCGTCGAGCTTCATCAGGCTTGTAGCATGAGAAATCCACCAGGTATACAGGGCGAGGACGAGTGAGGAAGTAGATGGAGGATACAAAAACTAAAAGAGAAGAGCAAATGACCACAGAGATGAGGTTATACTGGAGATTATCCCATATATTATATAGATCATGGAGAGAAAATGTTGAAAGTTGGGCAGCAATTATGATCACAAGAGGGGAAAGGAAGAGGAACATTCCATGAGTCATAAGGTAATGATAGCCAAGCTTAACATATTTCAGCTTGACTGATGTCTTATAATCTGGGAGCTTCAATGATGAGGGTGCCATCAAGGGAGTGTTTCCTTTTGGTTCTGTCATTCTTTCACCCTGTTGGATAAAACACAGGACTGAGTGAGACAAAAGCTATGAAAGAAGATATATGCAGAATCTAGTTTTCCTAGATGAATCAGACATGAAAAAAGAAACAAGGGAAAAAAAAGGAAAAGAACAAGCTAGAATATGGGCATTTCCAGAAACCAATAAATGGTCAAACAAACTCAAAACAGGCTTTCAATTAGAGTTTATGAAAATGGTCTTCTCTGAACCACAGTAAATACATTTAATGAACAGAACCCCCTCCCTCCAGGTGGGGAGGGGTGGGGTTTGCGTGGGTCTGTGTGTTTTTTTTTTTGTTGGGGGGGGGGGAGAGAAAATTATTATGTCCTAGGGCAATTTCAATTCATGAGCATCTCCAACTTTTTAACCTTATTTAAACTCAAATTTAAATTTGGATAAAAAATTTTCAAAACCTTCTCCAATTCTATACTCAAACTCATACCCAATCAAGGGAAACTCAACCCTTTACTCAAATCATTAATGGTTAGGTTTTATCTAATGCTTTGTATCAAATCAAGTTTTTTACTCAAATGTTGAGGTTGGAGATGCTATAAGCCAATCTAGGTCTAATATAGTGGTAGAACAGGTATTATATATTTCCATAAAAACCAAAATCCATCTATATCAAATACATTCATTAAGACGAAAAAAATAAAGGGTACATTTTCCACAGTATTCTTACTGAAAGGGCCCTCTCTGATCCTTGATAGATCAAATTCAGCTGAATGTCAAACCCATATGCAAATTCACACCAAAACAAACCATTTGTGCATATTTAAATTGATTCATTGCTGAAAAGTTGGAGCTCAATCCAAGCCCAGACCAATATTCACATCAAAGATAAAATTTTCATGCATCCAAATAGATTCCTCACACATAAACATGGAATAAAGAAAGCCTAGATCAATATTGACATCGCGAACGAATAATTCAAGCAGATATATCCAAATTACTTGCATAAAAATGAAATTTAAACAAAACCCAGATGAAAATACTGATGTTGAAGTTGAATCATACCCCCAGACCAATTGAGTCTCCTCAAAGAAGCCAAAGAGAAAGCGCAAAACAAATGTAGGTACAATGTAAGAAGTAGGATAGAGAAAAGATACGGGAATGAGAACAAGAAAATTCTAAAGATATACGTGAACTATATTCAGAAGAAGTTCGTGAGGCGAAATGGGAATTTGCGAAGAGTCAAAACATCCAGAAACGCCATCGATTCTATTCGAATGGCCTACAGTGCACGCGGAGGGAGAAACAGAGACGGCTACTTTGAAACTATATGTTTGGGTTAATTACATTTTTTCCCCTAAACTATGCCTTTCATATCATTTTAACCCTTACCTTATTTAATTTCTCATATTATATCAACAACTACTTAAATTATTTCACATTATTCTAAATTCAAACATCCATTTCCATTTCCTTTTAAACGAAAAATATCAATATATCAAAACAAAGTCAAACAAAATTAGGTAGTTCAATTAAAAAAAAGAAATAATGCTTATTAAATTTCTAATGAGCGTTCATCATTGCATGGTATAAAATTGATAACCATAGTTGAAGGCATAATATGAGAAATATCATAATTAAAGGAACAAAATAATAAATCTCATTATTTGATAGGACAGAGTCTAATTAAACCTAGATGTTTTTTTTTGTCATTTTTGACAATGGAGACGGCGACTTTGACCATCATCAACGGTTAGTGCGCGTCTCTGTTTCCCTCAGTTGCCAAATTTAACTTTGAGAAGTTTTTTGTTTGAAACGGGGAATTCATCCGCGTAGTTTTTTCAATAATCCGCCTTTTTTTTTTTGTGGTTTTGTTTTTTTCCAGGGTAACCAGTGTTTAGAACATCTTACACATATTTTGAGTAAATCTCTTTTTGGTCTAATCAAAAATATATCATTCATGCTCGAACTAAAATATTCATAGTCTAACTATAAACAGTTACTAAAATTCGAACTCATAATATTTAAATTTATAACTCGTCTTTTATTACCGCTTAACCTACTCCTTAGAGTTTTAATTCGTATATTGGAACTTTATCATCTCTTTTCCTATAATATTGTATAACCATTAAAACAAAATGTAAAAATTGAAGCTGAATTCTCCTTAAGAGACTTATAATGAATTTTAATTCGTCAAAAAAATTTATTTCGAAAGAAGTTCGATTTTAATCTTACTAATAAATATTTAAATCTGCTATTTTTTTAAAATTTCAAAATACCATTCTTATAACATTGAAAACAACATAAATCATTTTTCTAAACAATTACTCCTTGATTTATATTCAATGAAGATCTGTAGTAAAAAAAAAAAAATTGTTTATAAATTTAAATTTCAAATTCAAGAGTAGGTATTATTCATCTACTCTCTCTCTCTCTCTCTCTCTCCATGGACAGTAAAGTCAAAAGTGGATTTGAAAATTTCGGATTGCCTAGCCGTGCATATTGATGCAACTCTGCATCTCTCATATTAATCCTTTGCGCAAGTGATTCTTTAAAGCATTTCACAGCCACGTGAACAATTGACACCAATGACTGCTCAAGCATTGCACTGCTACTTTCTTCTTTAACGTCCATCAATTTCATAATCATTTGTTCTCCTATGTACTCAATTGACTATAGTCGATTCAAATTACTTCATTAGTTTATATTTGACTAATCTTTGTAACATATACAAGTGAGCGAAAATACATTAAAATTCAATTCTTTTAGTAGCCAAAAAAAAAAAAAAATTCACGCCTACCCCTTCTCTCCTTTTGTTTGAATGTGTGTGGTCTGTGGAACATTTTTCATATTATTATTTTTTTGTTTAACATGTTACTATTAATATTGAATGTTACTATTTTCTGAAATGTTAATTTTACATGTTGATATTTTTTTTAAAATATTAATATTCAATGTTATTATTTTTTATTTTTTATTTTGAATGTTATTATTTTTTTGTGTTTAAATGTTACTATTTTATCTCTCTCTCTCTCTCACACACACATATATGAGATAAAATATACCTAATCATTATATTTATATAGATAGATATGAGAGAGAAACAATTTTAATGTTAATAAAACTCTTAAAATTTAGAAATTATTAGTTTTCAAATTTATTTTAATTAAATATAACTATTGAGAGTATTTTAAAAAAAATTAAATACCAAAATGAACTTATCTTCAAACAAGTTTTCTTGATGGACTTAAGTCTAAATAAATCCACAAAAGCGGACTGACCCCCAAATTTCCTGAAAGAAAATATACCTAATTAAAAAATAAATATTATCTATCTAATATTATAATTAAGAAGTTGAATTCTTAATTTATAAAAGTATAATAATGATCAAGATTGATTCAATTTTTATCTATTTTGATTCAATTGTACAAAATTCATCCCAAAATTTCTTTACTAACTCAAAAAACATCATTTTCATTGCACGACCCCAATGTAAAAGAACTTCATCAATTTACATGTATATATCTCTTCCCTCTCTCTCCCTTACCTCTTTCTGATTTTATTTTTATTCATTTAACTTTAAATTACGTGAACAAAGAAAATAAATAAATTTTAAATATTGTACGATCAATATTTGATTTTTCGCATTTTAAAATGTCTTCATACAAGAGATTATTACTAGTAACTATATGCAAATCACACATATAGAATAAACCAAAATATTTTTGAATCCTGAGATAATTATATTTGAAGTTATAACTCCGAACTATCCACAAGAGAAAAAAAATTTAGTAATGCTATCGGGATCTAGCAAATTAATTTAATTTGTTGATATAAGGACGTGTGAGTGACGTAATCTAATAGTATTATTGTGACTACAATTCTTGAATTTTTTCATTAGGACTTATTCAATAAATTAAATCAATTTTTAAGATTTCAATAACATCACTCAAACTTTTTTTGAGAATGTAAACTAATGTATGGCCAATAGGGATATAATTATTCTTTAGTATTATATCTTATTTTTTGTTAAGCAAAAAATGTGACGTGTGAAATTTTTATTTTTTAATATTTTTATGATTAATAGCTACAAATACATCACACCAAATACATGGTTTGGATGCACATAACAGGATTGGGTTGGATTAAATTTTGAACCCAACCTTATCCAATGCAAATTATCCCGTCCAACATGTGAGCTGTGGGCCTTATACACATGTCCAAATCAATGACAATGAAACGACCATTGCACCTTTGGTAAGAAAATGTAATCCAATTTTATATCAACTTTGGATGGATATGGAGGAAAAAATTAGTTTGGATGAGTGGTTATTTGGAAATAATTATATAATTCAATAATAAAGACCGTAAATTAAATTATATTTATTTAAATATGAAAAAAATTGATTTAATAGATTAGATTGAGTTTAAAATTTTTATTAATTTAATATTGTTTATTCTTTTTTTAACAACACAACATCGAACATTTTTTTTTATTTTTTAGAAAGGTAATTTTCTTAACAAATAAATTGTTCATTAATTTTTTTTTTCACAGCCATGAAAAAAAATTACTACTCCTGAATCTGAGAAGGTCGTGTTTTTTTTGTTTTTTTTTCTTAACTAAGCGGTAGGAATTGTTTTAAGAAGATATGACACTAAAAACTCTAATGACATCTCTTCTCAAATATCAACATTCTCACAATATCTAACATTTCGAGCCGGCTGGTGAGCTTGGCAATTTCCTGAACATCTAATACTAAATAATGAAGAAAAAATAATCGATCCAAGAATACATTGGGCATTCCCTACAATAGAGGCCAAAGAAGAAAAATCCTCAGAATTATTACCCAACATCTTCATCACTGTTATTGAATCACCTTCAAGAACAATTTCATCACATCCAATTTGCCTAGCAAACAACATAACTTCCTTTGCAATCATATAGTCTCCATGGTTTGCGCCTCAGCCAAAGCAATGATCTTCTTTGACATACCCGCAATAAACATCCCAGCCCCATCTCTTATTACTACACCCGCTTCAATAGCAGCTTCTGTTTCAAACACCACCCAATCGAAATTAACTATTAAATGCCCAGAACTTGGAGGAGAGCGCATAGTTATCGCAGCCCCACCGGTAGCAATGTTACTCTGTTCAACGATGTGCTCATATTGGGATAGGCACTCTATCGCTGCTGGGCATATAACAGCCGAATCATTACGTGATTGCTGGAAGATCACTTCATTTCTATTTCGCTATGCATCTATTGGAGATGTGCTAAACATCTCGTTAGAATCAAATACACATTAAACTTGACTAGAACTGTCTTGTTTTCGATATAAAAATCTTGATAAATCTCCAACTCTTTGACCTGCTAATGAGTTATGTAAATGACCTTATCGTATTACATTTGTCTACTACTATATCTTCTCTTAAAGTCGATAAGTAATTGACATAGTTATGTGCTATGAAGCACGGATACTACGAAAGGGTCAAAGTATCGGTATCGGATACGTTTTGGATACGGATACATCTCCAATATGGCTGGATACGTATCGAATACAGTTGAGAAGTATCATAAAATTAAAAAAATAAATTTGAATTTCAGATACGATCAGATACGCTTTAGATACAACTGAGATACACTTAGGATACTTTTTGAATATAACGGGGTATTACTTAAATTTTTTAAAAAATATAGGGACACATGAGAAAATATGTTTAGACCCTCATTTGCAAATATATTATAAAACCCTATTTTCTTTTATTCCATGCCCCCCCCCCCCAATCAGTTGATCAATTCTCTCTCTCTCTCTCTCTCTCACACTCGACGACTGACAGTCTTTGAGACCGATCGACGACGACTGACGGGTATTCCTCTTCCACTGACCTGTATATCCTATCTCTTGATCGAGGACAACATCTCTTGAAGACGAAGAGCATCCTATCGGGTAAGCTCTCTCCTCTCTCTCTATTTTTCTGCCTCACCGGTAAATGATTAGCACTCCTTTTGATCCTTGAATTAGGGTTTGCACTTTTCAATTAAGGGGTTTTTTGGTTGAATTAGGGTTTGCAATTAGGGTTTTTTTTTTTGCTTACTGTTTGGTTCTATGGTTTTGTGCAAACTCTATGTGGAGTAATTTTTTTTTTTTTCTTTCCGTTTGTTCAAGTGCTGACTGTATGACTCCATGCTGTAGTTACATTTTCTACTTTATATGTTGCCTACAAATTAGTGCTCAATTTATATTTGTTTTACTAAAATTCGGCACTTGATAATGGGTTGTGCATTGCATACAGTCAATGTGAAATTAGAATGAATAATGGGCTGCCCAGATTTTTTTATGCTCCATAGATGCCATTCCATGTTACTTCCTGAATAGATGAAATTGTACTAATATGTTATGTCTTCATTATTTCCAGTGGTATGGTCAGATTATGAAGGACTAATCTTCCATGGCTGGACTTCAACTGAAAAAAAATTGAAAACAGAATATTTTTATTTTGACTTAATGTTTGACATGTAATAACAACAAAATTTGTTTCAAAACAAAATTTATATGTATAATGATAATTTTGGTCATTGGTATGAACTGCTAATTTTTGAGGAAAATAGAATAGGATTGTGGTTGTATTGTGTATAATGATAATTATTATAAATGATTGTAAGTTTCGTGATTCCGTGGTTCTGTGCTTATATATTTGTTGGTATGAATTGCTAAAATGGATGTCCTAGAATTTAACTGCTACTAAATTTTACTGCACTGCTGATTCGTTTTATTAAATTAATATAATTATAGGGGAATGAGTACGGGTACGGAAAGTATGGGCTCAACGGGTGGAAGTGGCAGTGGAAGTGGTAGCGCCACTCAAGATGATAATGCTACTCTTTGGGGTTATGTTACTAAACTAAATGGGGGATAAAGGTGGAAATACTAGATTCCAATGCAATTTTTGTCAGAATGAGTATAGTGGATCATATTCTCGTGTTAAGGCACATTTATTGAAAATTTCTGGTCATGGAGTTAAAGTGTGCAAAAAAGTGACTCCCCAAAATCTTATTCAGATGCAAAGGGTAATTGAAGAAGCAGATAATGGGTTAAATTGACCATGCCAAAGAAAGTTTCATTGCCACCTTCCTCTTTCCCGGCCCCTATAACTAGGAGTATGGGAATATCAGAAACTGGAACACTTAGAATGGAAGGTTTTGAGCCAAGAAAAAAAAAGGCGACTGGAACTAGTGCTTTGGAGAAAGCTTTTAACTTGGGTACTCGGGAAGAATTGAACTCTCACATTGCACGAATGTTTTATTCAGGTGGCTTGCCTTTTCATTTAGCTAGGAACCCATATTACGCAAGTTCTTATACATTTGCTGCCACTAATTTGATTACGGGTTATGTACCACTTGGTTACAATGCATTGAGGATCATACTACTTCAAAAGAAAGGGCACAAGTAGAAAGGTTGTTGGAGCCAACTAAATTGTTATGGAAGGAAAAGGGAGTGAGCATTGTTACAGATGGGTGGACTGATTCCCAAAGAAGGCCTCTTATCAATTTCATGGCTGCATCAGAATCTGGGGCAATGTTCTTGAAAGCTGTCGACTGCGAGGGTGAAATCAAAGATAAATTTTTTATTGCGAACTTAATCAATCAAGTAATTACAGAAGTTGGACCTCAAAACATGGTTCAAGTAATTACTGATAATGCTCCTGTTTGTGCTTCTGCTGGATTAATCATTCAAAATGAGTTCCAACATATCTTTTGGACCCCATGTGTAGTGCACACATTGAATCTTGCCCTTAAGAATATTTGTGCAGCAAAAAATCTTGAGAAGAATGCAGTTACTTATGAGGAATGCCACTGGATTACAAAAGTTGTTGGAGATTTAGTAACTATCAAAAACTTCATCATGAATCATTCTTTGAGGTTGTTTATCTTTAATGAGTTTGTGCCTTTGAAGTTGCTTGTTGTTGCAGATACTCGTTTTGCATCTGCTATTGTAATGATGAAAAGATTTAAACTCATCAAGTGTGGTCTTCAAGCAATGGTAATTAGTGAGAAATGGTCTTCTTACAAAGAAGATGATGTTGTGAAAGCGGCATTTGTGAAAGAAAACATCTTGAGTGACATTTGGTGGGATAAGATAGACTATATACTTTCTTTCACATTACCCATTTATGAGATGTTGAGGATTTGCGATACAGACATACCATGTCTTCATTTGGTTTATGAAATGTGGGACACAATGATTGAAAAGGTGAAGACAGCTATATATAGGCATGAAGGAAGCCAGATAATGCAAGGTCAATCTTTTATGATGTGGTACATAAAGTTCTAGTTGAGAGATGGGCTAAAAGTAACACACCTCTTCATTGTCTTGCATATTCCTTAAATCCAAGGTGACAAATTTCTTTTTAGTTTTTACTCTTAAATTATTTTTTTTTTTTTTATCGAGTTGGTTTTGATATCTTCTAATTTTACAATATAGGTATTATAGTGCACAGTGGCTAAATGAAAATCTCAATCGCGTTCCTCCTCACAAGGACGAAGATATTTCATCTATGAGAAATAAATGCTTTCACAGGTACTTCCCAAATCCACAAGAGAGAATGAAGGCTAATACTGAGTATGCTAAGTTCTCTAGTTGTTTGGATCAATTTGGAGAGCACGACTCAAGAATATATCGAGGATTAATGGACCCTCTAATGTGGTGGTTTTCTCATGGGTCTCCTGCACCAATACTTCAATCTTTAGCATTGAAATTACTTAGCCAACCTTGTTCCTCGTCTTGCAGTGAAAGAAATTGGAGCACTTACTCTTTCATTACTTCCATGAAAAGGAACAAAATGACACCACTTCGTGCCCAAGATTTGGTTTTTGTACACAACAATCTTCGTCTCTTATCGAGGAGAAGTAAACAATACATGGAAGGAGATACGAAGCTATGGGACATTGGTGGAGATGCATTTGATTCATTGGAGGGTGCTGGGTTGCTTGAAGTTGCAAGTCTTTCACTTGATGAGCCAGATACGGAAACTATGTTATTCCAAGATGAAGGGGATAGAAATGAAGAAACGTCTTAGTAACAAGAGGGGACTGTTTTGTTGCTTGACTTATAATAGGATAATATTCGAAATTACAAGTTTTTTGTTTATTGACTTGTAATCGAATGGTTTCTTTTGTTTAAGCATGAATTTGATATTATGCAATATGTATGCGATGTAGAATGTATGATTTATAAATGATAGAATGGTTAGTTATTATTATATATCTTTAGTTGATGTGTGATTCACTTTATAAATCATAATTATTACATTAAATATAATAATAAAATTTTAAAAATATATATATTTTATAAACGTATCATAACTGTATCCGTATCCTATGTTTTTAAGTTTTACTGTATCGCCGTATACGCATTCGTACTTTATAGGTTATGTGTAATTTTAAGATTCGTGTCATGTTGATATTTTGTTATTTTGTCGTGTCAAAAATCGTGACACACACTTATCGAGTGAGATTCTTTGGTCCCCACGAAACCAATATTTTTTGAACTCTGCCAAATATTTCCCCATAAAATAACACTAGCAGACAAGCAAACATTCCCCTCAAATTCAACCTATTAGTATAGTATTACACCATAGACAATAAACAAACAACATTGCCGCATATCACTTCCATTATATAGATGAGAATTGATAGGATTATTTGACATTGTGGAGTGTGTTAATTGAGTTGTCTGGTACTAAAAGTCGTGTAGAAAAGATGATATTTTTGGGCGAGAAAAAAAATTAAATTAATTTTGTATTATTGAATCAAAATATATAAAAATTAGATCAATTTTAATCGTTGTTGTGTTTTTATAAGTTAAGAATTCAACTTTCTAATTTCCTTATTATATAAATAATCTAGAAATGGCCATCTATGATCAATTCATGACTAGGATATCAATACCATCACATATATGACTGCCATTATATGTCACATGTCGCATAATATATAATTTTCTCCAGATTGGCATAACAAAAATATATGAAGTTCCATTAAAATCATGATCTCATGAACATCAAATGCATAACCTCAATATAAACTACAAAAAAGTAGGGTTTTTGACAAACCCATCATTAGCTTTTAAAGCCACTCTATCATTAACATAGAGCACCAATACCACATATAACACTACTAATATGTAATCCATTGATGCCGCAGAAGTAAATATCATAGCTGCTATTACCATCATTGTCATCGTTAGTCTCCAGTGATGCTATGCTGCGGGAGCATAGTCGTAATCTCCATCATCATCATCGCTATCTCCATCTCCATCTCCATCTCTTTCCTTACATGCTGCAGGGACGTAGTCATATCCATCATCGCCATCATCATCATCATCTTCATCTCCATTTGCTCGTTTTTTGTACCATGAGCCAATGTTGTTGGGAATGAGATACATTTCCACAGAAAAATTGGATTTGAAAAAACAAAATGTGTTCACAGATATGGAACTATGGGGATAGAAAGTGAACACTAGGGCTTTGTGGTCTGCATTGACTTTGAATTGGAGAGGGAAGACATATATGCTTGTATAAAGGTAAGAGAAGGTGTTGGGCTCGTTTTGGCACAGGTAAGGCACGTGGGGAGTGTGGAGAGATGGTTGGAGGGTGGTGCCTGACCCGGACGATGGTGACACGTGGCACTTTGGCCCAGCCACATAGGAAACTCACATAACAGGTATGCAAATTGGTAAGTGGTAAAGCCTCTTTGGGTGCATATATAGTTGATAGTTGGACTTTTCTGCTGGTTGTAACAATGAAATCTCAAAAAAGTATGAGGTTGAAGGCTTTTTGGGGTAGGTAGGAAATATGAGGTGCATTATTCTCTACAAAATGAGATTTGTTTTTAGTGTATCTAGAAACTAGCAGCAGGCTGATGATCAGTGTTGTAATGCAAACTTCAAATATACATATTTACTCCTTTCAAAAAAAAATATATATATACATAATTACTCGTAAATGACGTGCATCGGGCATGCCACTCAACATTATGTATCTAGTTATCGTATTTTTGCTCTAGTTCGGTAGTTCCGTAACAAGTTTTTTGAACGTTTTTTAAAATCAAAAAGAACCGCTATAAGGACCACTATTACGTGAATTACTTGATTTAAGTCAGCAAATTAGGTCATAGTGAATTAAGTCAGCAAATTAGGTCAGATTTTAAGTCCCAATAGCATTGCTTTATCTTTGATTGTTTTTTATGAAATCACACAGAAAGCTAGTGTTTGCAATCGAAGGAGCACTATTTAAGAATTGCTCCATGAATATCATCGAAAATGTTTGATGCTAGTATACCTATGTTATTTTGTGAGAGGAGAACTTGAAATCTTCAAATAGTATCAAAGTGCTGCCCCTAAATCTTGGATATCTTGGTGCAAGTTGGAACCCCTTCATGAAATTGAAGAGCCGGTCCTCTTCCGTCATATCAAAAATGTCCAAGTAGCACTACAAAAGATGGCCTTCACCTACTCGCGTATGGGGTCTGTTTGACTCAGGCTCATCAACATGGTGGACCACAAACGGGCAGGAACCCTCCATTCCGCTTGAAACTCGAAGTTCAGCCAAACGGCATAATGTGACGCGATGAAAATTTTGCTTCTAGACGATAGTTTATTATTGCAATGGCAATTGCAAACTCGTGCACCTCAACCATAGACAATAAATAATGTTAGATTGAGTAAAAAATAGAACAAAAAACAGAGATCAAACGATGGGACACTAATATGGAGATATTTTTGTTCTCGCTTTTACTCATTTAAATTTCAAACTATACCCGACATGTTAGTGTCACATCATTTGGTCTATATTTTGTTCTCCTTTTTGGTCACTATAGCAATTTTAGAGGTAAATTTATGTTAAAAACTGCCTTTGGACCGTTTGGCATTTGAAGTTCGTGATGTTACTTTGAAGAGGTTGAAGACTTTGAACAGCCAGAGGAGGCTGCTTTCGTCTGAAAAGTTCCAAAAAAACAGAGGAAGCATAACATTTGTAGTTGTATAGATTGGCTGTGTTTTATTGCTAGATGGAGCCTACTTCTAATCTAACAACTACAATTCACTATATTCTTAGATTTTTTTTGATCGGACACTATATTCTTAGATTAAGTCCCTAAAATAGGTAAAAACAGAATTTTCCACATCTTTATACACGAATTTGCATCTCGATGTCAATAATTCCATCAAGAAAAGTATTTTAAGCACAACATTAGTTATCTGTCCCAGATAGGATCTTAATTCGCTTTAGCTGTAGATCAATTGTTGTTGTTGAAGAAATTCATCAAGTTGTCGGGTTTCATTATCATGTGGGAAATTTTAAGAAGGGATTCCCCAGAGTTTGATGGAGCATAGATTTGTTTCAAAAAATTCAATGCACTTTTAGAAACAAAAGTTTAAGACTTGACAATTGACAATTTGTTTTTTCACATGCAAGATATTGTGTTCTTTCTCTCCACTAACATTTATATTTCAAGCTTACAAAACTTCAAATCCATTGCATTGGAATCCTACTACAAATGCCCCAAAAGATCATGACTAATTTGGCAAATTGAAACTCTTAACTAATCTGAACCAAAATGGGATTGGAAGAATGCATATATATTTTCATGAGGCTTTAGCATTGATCTATGCCATTCCAATCCCTCCCCCTCCTTCAAGTTCTGCAAATGAACAAGCATACAAAAACTAAAATTTCTATCGCATGAGCTTACCAGATCTGTCTGCTTTCACCCTTTTTAACAAAAATTTTCTCAAGAAATTGGTCTTGGATTCCTTGAGCCCTCACTTGAAGATTCCAATACATTTTTCATGTATGCCAAACCACACATGATCTTGACCATACTATGAAAATTTTAATTCTATGTACATCTTTCAGAATATCAACACTTAACCGATACAATTATCACAGTTTAACCAGTTTCTCACTATTTGGACTGGCAAAAATATGGCATTGTTCATCACAAATTTCCTGCTACCGGCTTATCTTGTTCCATTTTGTTTTCTTCGAAACCTGACAACGGTTTAGCTATACTAAACAACATGGAGTAAACTTTATACATTTCTGGGTGAGATGCATCTCCAGCTAGGAACTCATGGACATTACCATCAACCTCTATTGAACTACATCCAGGCGCCTTCCTAACTCCAAGATCTCGCATTTTCCTTCTCACCTTTGTCGCATCATCCCATCTGTCAGCAGATGCATAGACATTGGCAAGAAGGGTATGGACAGTGGAATCACCGTATTCCATTTCCATGAGCCGTTTTGCAACACGTTCAGCGATATCAATATTTCCATAGATTCTGCAAGCGCTAAGAAAAGCACCATAGAGTGGAACTATAATCTTATTATTTTCTTTGGGTAGGTCTTCTATCAAGTCCTCTGCTTCATCTAATAGTCCAGCCCGACCAAGCAGGTCAATCAGACACCCATAGTGTTCCAACTTCGGTTCAATCTGATACAACTTCTTCATCAAACTGAAATACCGGCGGCCTTCCTCCACCAGTCCCCCATGACTACAAGCACTTAAAACACCAACAAAGGTGATATCATCTGGTCTAAACCCACCTTGTTCCATTTCTGAGAATAGCTCCAGTGCTTTGCTGGTCTTCCCATTCATGGCAAGCCCACAAATGATTGAAGTCCATAAAGCTGTATCTTTCTCTTTTAACCTGCCGAAGATCTCCAATGATTTCTCTATGCACCCACATTTTGCATACATATCTATAAGAGCAGTACCAGCAACCACATCAATTTTTATTCTGTTCTCCTCCATGTATCCATGGATCCATTTGCCTTGTTCCAAGGCCCCCAATTGAGAACAACCTGTAAGCAGAGAAACGACAGTAAATTTATCCGGCTTAATACTTTTCATTTGCATTTCCTGGAACAAGGCCATTGCCTCATCAACTTGATTGAACTGCACATACCCATTAATCATAGCTGTCCAGAGAATGACATCCCTAACTGGACTTCTCCCAAACAACTCTCTAGCTTCATCCAACTGACCTCCATTGACGTATCCTGACACCATACTTGTCCAACAAATCACATTCTTTGTCAGCATTCCATCAAAAATTTGCCGAGCCATACCCAAAAAACCACTCTTAGAATACATATCCAACAATGCATTGCCAATTATAGTAGTAAATCCAAGTTCATTACTCACATATTGATGAATTTCCTTACCAAGTTCAATATTTTTCAACGCTGTACAAGCCGAAAGTGTGCTCACAACAGTAGCTTCATCAGGTTTCACATCACTTTCTCGTCGCATTTGGCAATAAACTGCAATAGCATCTTCAAATCTGTTACACCTAACAAACCCAGTAATCAAAACATTCCAAGAAACCAAATCTCTCTCAGGCATTTCATCAAACATCTTTTTCAAACTACCAACATAACCCAATTCACCATACATATCCATGATTGAGTTACACACATAACAATCAAACACCACTCCACTTTTGACAACAAATCCATGAACCTTTTCACCTGACAGAACCTCTCTTAACCCTCCAATCGCCTTAAACACAAACGGGTACGTGAAATTATCAGGCCACAGCCCATTATATCTCAATTCATCAAACAACAAAAGAGCTCTTCTAAACCTACCATTCTTTGTATACGCTTTGATCATAACATTGTAGACGAACAAATGTGGGTCTTCAAGGAAATGAAATAGTTTTTCAGCGTAATACAAGTTTCCAAGAGAGGGGTCTGTGCAGAAAGCCATGAGTTTGTTGACGGCGTCTTTGTTTTTGTGGAGACCAATTTTGAAGACTTGGGTCTGGATTTGTTTGAGTTGTTTCATGGATTTGCAGGTTTTGAGGTGGAACATACATGTTCCCTTCGTAATTCTCGCCATGTGGGAGGTGGTTGAAAAGTGAATTGGATTAGGATTGAAATGGCGGGAATTGGACACAGATGAAATGGAACAGAAAAGTCATGTTAAGAGATTATCGAGCTCTGTCAACGCTTTAAAGCATAACGGAACAGAAAAGCCATGTTGAGACATCATCGAGCCACTTTCGCAATACATACACAGTTTTGGCAAATGACTTATACCGGGCACCACAATCCTAGTGCCCACATGCAAATAGGGTGCTCTTCGGGTTATTTAGGTTCGGCTCAGGTTTAATTTATTTAAAATTTGATTCAACTTTGACTCGTATTTTAAATAAATCAAGTTTGAACAATTTTTTTAACTCGTTTTAAAAAATAAGTTTAAAAGTCTTGACTCGTTTATATATAAAGAACAATACTACATGAATTTAAAAAATAAAATTAAAAAATAGACTTAATAATCTCAACCATTGATTTTATTGTGGGTCTCAGTATTTATTAAGACCCACTATCTTTTCAATGATTGAGATTATCAAATCTAGTTTTTTAAGTCTCATATATAAAATAGTTGACTCTTGCTCGAGTTTAGTTTGAGTTTTAAACGAGTTGAATTTGAATAATTTAATAGGCTCACTTAGAAAAACTTGCACACCAAGCTCGAGCTCGAGCTCGGGCTCGGGTTCAGGCTCAAGCTCGCAAAGCTTAGCTCAATTAACACTCCTTGATGATGTACAAAATAGATTTGTGCAAGATTAACAATCGAGTGTGTGATAAAGTGTCATTAATGAGAAAATTAATAGCAAAAAGGTAAATATCGGATCAACACACAGATATATAGTAATTCAGTCTGAGTGACCTACTCTACTCTAAAAAATAGCAATGGTGGCCAGAGAACTGTTATTAATGAATAAAATGGAGAGAAAGATCCAGGAAATGTGTGTTCTAAGAGAGGTACAATAACTAAGAGAGAGAAAAATTGTGTGAGAGAGGTGTAGAGATGTGTCCTCTCATATAGAGAGGACTTACAATTTATAGGCATTGAACTTTAGTTGAGGCGGTGACGTGAGGGTAAATGCACTAGTCCTTCGGGAGGATAACCATAATAGGTAAGTGTAATTAAATGTAGCCT